TAAATATGGAGCCGTACCTGATGTGGAAACTGAAAGGGATGTTTAAAAAAAAAAAGAAAGGAAGGAAAAAGCAGTATTTTACTGCTAGGACATGTTTTCTCTTGACTTACAGATGACGACAAACATAAACTGCGCTTAATGGATTGTCTTAAAATGCAGAACACTATTTAAGGTCACAGAAGACAGAATTTAAGCTCTTTTTCTCAGAGTTCTGCTTGTGAGACTCCATCAAACACAAGTCACAAGAAGCTGTTTTTATGTACTGGCGTGAACTTTCTTTTCAGAAAGTTCTTTCTGAACTTTCTTTTCAGCATATGGTTCTCTTGATTCTTAGCTCTGCGCCTGTTGGCAGCTTCATTTTTGTGCTTTTTAACCTTCGCGTTCCGAATGCGAGTTGTCAAAATTCATAATTCGAACCCTTTCAATCTGGTCCTGCAATGTCACATTTCCAGCCTTCGATAGATACCGCCCGCTTCTTGGGATGTTAGCCTGCAGTCAGCCTGGAAGGGATTCTCCTCTGAAGCTGCTCTGCCTGGATGTAGCTTTATAGGTCTCTCAAGACAGGCAGCAGCCTTCTTGGAAACAGCCGTATTATTTCAGAGGGCAGGCAAGATACGTTTGTGTGTGTGTGGGGGGGGGCAGTCTGTCAGTGCTCTTTCTGTGCTTAGTGGCATATGACATGTCCCATCAGTGACAGTAACGGGAAAGATTTGGCTGGAATTTTGGGGACGCTAGAATTGGCTATACTCTGAATTAAGGGCTCCTTTTGGACAGTTCTGATATTGCACATTCAATAACAGTATTATTTTAAAACAAACACACAAACAAGAACTTTCAGTCAACTAAGGTCTAATGCCAAGAGCCTTACTCACACTTCTTAGTTATTTTCATATGACAGATTTTAGAAGATTTGTTCAACATCTGACCCAGCCAGTACAGATTCTTTCAGGGTCAACCTGTGTTAAAATTCTTGGTTTTGTTTTGTTTTTTCTCTCTCTCTGCCAGGTGTTCTTCACCCGCAACGGAAAGATTATTGGCAAGAAAGATGCAGTGGTGCCACCGGGGGGCTTTTATCCTACCATTGGGATGCTGAGCAGCGGGGAGAAGGTCAAAGTGGATCTGCATCCACTCAGCGGCTAAAGATCAAGGGCTGGAAAAGACGCCTCTTCTGCCACTCCGCAGGCTGCCGGATTGCTCCGGCTGTTCTTCATTGCAACTTCGGCCATTGCCTCCAGGGGTATAACCTCTTTGACGTGGGGCCATATAGAGAGATATTTGTCTATCTAATAACACCTGAGCCACTTCTCTTGTCTCTTTCCTACCTGCTTGATTGCAACTGTTTTAATACTGGAAAAATCGTGAGGCTCTTTATTTCCAAGCGGGTCAGGGATTCGTTCCTGGAATACAGTCCCTATCTCTTTCTGCTCGTAATGTTCTATGAATTACTTCTTTCTGAGGGCAGGACAGCTCTTTTGAGTTTACATGGTTGAAAAAGAGCCCGGAATATGGCCTAGCCTTATTCAGCTCTGGGGTGTCCATGATCCTGTTCTTAAGGGGATTATTGAATTGCAGATGGAACAGGTCAGCTCCTCTTGCCTAGTGACATGAACCATTTGCATTATTATATCTAGTGCGCTGGACACCTCATTCTTCAGTGCGAGCCAGTCTCAAAAGTCTTATCTAAGATATTTTTTCTCCTGAGCCCATCATTGCGAGAAAAACCGTGTTGTTGTTGTTTTTTTAATTTATGGGCTCCTTAGTTGAATCTAAGCTGGCATTTAGAAACTCCCAGGATCCAACTTTCTTTTTTTCAAGGACTTTTGGGGAGGATGATGGAAAGCCAGGGAAGACTCTTTCTTGGACTGTACTTCCTAACTGATGTTTGATAAGCCAAGATCCAGCACTTTTTTTCAAATCATAGTTTACAGATGAAGTCTAATGATGAATTCTCTGCTGTCCTACTCAGCTAATCTCGGGGATGGGGGGCGGGTTGGAGGACATTGGCAAAATTTGGAGGCAGATAGTTTTCTGCCCCCTCCCTCTTATCCTGAGCTGCTGAGAGCTCCCTAATATTTCTTCTGTATGTTGTTATGATCTGGGTGCAATGCTGCTGTATATCTTTGTATTGATGGAGAAGAGGGTGGAATGTGAAATCTGTACTGTAACTTGATTGTAAAGTGTTCATCCTTCATTCTTCTCTGCTGAAGTTAAAAGAGGGCTGGTCCTTAGGTATGTAGGCCCGCCCTTCTTTTCAGCCCCTCCCTTGTTCTCTGCATTGTATTTACTCTGTCATAGCCATACCCCCATTGCAGAAATAACAGAGGCTATGGGAAGGGTGACAACCAGTCTGGATGCTCTGTGTGTAGATGGGGTCAAACAATGATAGGAGAAGCCAAAGAGTAGCAGCTGCTTTGAGCCACGGGAGAAAAGCTCCTCCTTTCTCTTAACTTCTCTGCCCCTGTATTTTCATGGGCAACCTTGCTGCTAAAATGATAATCTGGGAATTGCGGATTGAAGAGGGGACGCTCCTAAGGAGGAAAAAAAAATTGGGTTGGCTCCCTCTGGTGGTGTGAATGACCTGCCTTTGTTGTCACAGTCCCGCTTTTGTATGTTGGGAGAGCGGGAGCAACAGTTTGGCCTCTTCATGTCTTGCCAACAATCCTCCCTGCCACTTGCAATTAGGAGAAGATTGTAATCCCTGCTTGCTGATGATGGTGGTTTCTTCCCCATCTGCTGCTGGAAGCGATCCGGCATCTGGCTGCAGAAGGCAAGGATACAGGCTTGCTGGCGTGCAAGGGGGCATCACAAGCTTGTAAACGTGCTGCTGTTGACTTAATTGCTGCACCAAGCCTTGGAGAGTGCAGATGTTGCTCTCTCTCTCTCTGTCCTGTTGTGTAGTTTAGCGTTTCTCAACCTAGGGAACATTTGAGACATTGGGACTTCAACTCCCAGAATTCTCCAGCCAGCATGGGGGGTTCTGGGAATTGGAAGTCCACCCATCTGAACGTTCCCAAGGTTGAGAAACACCTTGGTGAAGTTTGTTCTTCTACACTGCAAGCCTGCCTTGAACAGACTTTTCTTCCTTTCAGCTCTGGGTGCTTCTGCTGCACTTTTTGTAGCCAGAATCTTTATACACTTAATAAAGTTGGCATTTCCACCTGGAAGGGCTACTGGTTTCATTAATAGTGTTTTACTGCTTTCTGTTTCTCATCAGTGTTTCTTTGAAGTGTATTTTTTTAATTTAAAAGAATTTTCTAGCTAAGTAATTTTTAAACATTAAACTAGCCTCCAAAAAAACAAACAAACAAAAAATGAAATTGTTTTGAGTATGTTATCCTACAATGAAGTATGTGTGTACTGTATGTATTTTCCTCCTTTATTATTTTTATAAATAACTCAAGGCGGCAAACATATCCAATACACCTTCCTCCTCCTCCTCCTCCTTTCCCCACAACAACATCCCCGTGAAGTGAGTTGAGCTGAGAGAGTGTGACTGGCCCAAGGTCACCCAGCCGGCTTTCATGCCTAAAGTGGGACTTGAACACACGGTCTCCTGGTTTCTAGCCTGGTGCCTTAACCACCTGACAGATGATGGGGGAAAATACTTTTCTATCATTGCCATTTTAATAATGGTAGTGACTGGAAAGCTTTTTAAAAAACCAATGCTATGCGCTCACAAAACTGCTTTAAAGGAGTATTTTAGCATTAGAGAGAGATGGTGTCATAACACTATGATCTGATTAAAAATAAAGGTTCGGCAAGATAATTCAAATGGCAGGGATTGGAAGCTCACAATGCCACAATGATAAAATAAAATGATACAATAGCTTTTAAGCAGCATTAGCCTTTCTGATGCAGATGATGCAGGAAAATGTATTTTAAGATTCATTCCTACCTGAATGCATCCATATATGTGGTTTATAAATAAACTCCTTATGAAATCAATAGCAGTAGCATGTAAATATGTACTTTTAAAATTGGAACCTTTTGGATGAACCTTTTTTAATGAAAAATTATAGCTGAAAATATGCTACACAAAACTGAAAAACAGGAAGTAGCATTGAGGGTCTGTATCACTGGGGGGAATATTTTTCTTTTCTTTCAAAAAAAATTTAAACAACTGAAGCAACTGTAGAAATACCACCCATCAATCACATGAGTATATAGATCAGAGTTGCTGGACTGTACAAGGTGGGTGGCATATAAATTTAATAAATAAAAGTGATGCCACAATAATGTCTCCTCTAAAATAAACAAGGAAAGCATTTCCTCAATGAATTTCCTCAATGAAATCAAGTTTGACAGGGGTGTCAAACTCAATTTCACTGAGGTCCACATCAGGGTTGTGTTTGACCTTGGGGGGGACCAGGGTGGATGTGGCCAGTTTGATGTCACTCGTGTCGGGGGCACTTGTGGCCAAGTGCTAAGGCAGGACTTCCCTCAGACCCTCCCTCATTAAAACCTTCCTCCCTCCCTCCTTCCCTCCCTCTTCATTCTCCTTTCTTCTTCCCCCTTTCCTTATTTTTCCTTCCTTGCTCTCTTTCCATTTTCCCATCTTTTTCTTTCCCTTTCTCCTTCAAATGCAAAAGGGGAAACATTTCTCCTTTTGTTTTGCTTTTAATTTGCTTTGCTAGCCCTCTGCCAGTGATAATGGAACACTCCCCCCACCCCGGTCCCGTTTTCGGCTGCGATGGCCTCCTGCAGCCCTCTGCCAGCGATAATGGAGCTTGGGGTCCACGCACAGCCCCCCCTCCCCGGCCCCATTTTCGCTGGCAGATGCACTGTGAGCTAGTACTTTGCTGTTTCCAGGGCGGCCCTGTGGGCCAGATCTGACCCATGGGCCTTGAGTTTGACACCCCTGCCTTAAATGACTAGAATTTAGATTAAAAATTCCTTTGGGAATACTACCTAGCGAAACTTAACATTCGGCTGTATTCTCTTCCATTTCCTACCCCATTACACAAGGACCCATTTCCAAAAAGCAATAAAAGGCACTCTGATTTCTTTTCCTGGTATGTTAATTTTGAATAAACGAGAAACGGGTTGTCGTTTGTACAGAAGATAAAAATACAGATATAAAAAATAATAGTGCTGCAGCTTTCTCTCCCCTGCCCGCCCTCCCCCTTCACAAATATATATATATATATATATATATACACACATACATATATATTATCAAGACATCTCTCGCTAACATTCAGATATAAATTCTTTAGTAGACAAAATAAAACTCTGTACTAAACCCAACCCTCCCCTTCCCGCCACTTTCAAAGATTGGAAGGCACGTTTGTAGAGCAGCAGAACTCTCTTCACTAGCTCATATGATATGTCTTTTGCGCTCAATGACCCATCTTGAAGATGTTGGTGGGGGGAATCTTATGTGAATCTCACCAGAGGTGCTCCACCAAGAACAGGGACTCCTCCAAGCACAACTGCTGTGTGCTTCCTTGGTACTTGCGCTGGCATGTCTTAATGGGAGGTTGGTTCAACCAATTGCACCTAAGCACATGAGGAATTAATATACTATGCTTATTAAGAACACAATTCTGAATTGGATTTAAAAAAAAAAAAGCAATCTTCTAGTCTGGTGGGGAAGGAAAATACACACAGCTGGTCTTCTGGAATGAAAAACTCAAAACCCAGAAATAATTAAAATGAGGCTTCTGTTACATCAAGGTTTTTTTAAGCCCTTCACCTCCTCCTGTGCCTTAATCCTGTGACTGCTCATATATTCTGCTGTGTGCTATCCAGATGCAGAGATAAACTCTTTAAATAGTTGTATAGGAAAGTGAATCCTGAGTGTCTGAAGAGAGTCATTAAAATGGATTTTTGAGCTATCAAACTGCTAAAACTAACATTGATCACCTGCCCATTTTCTTAGTATGTTTTGTGAGTTTCTAAACTTAGGCGGATCAGAAGCAAAAAATTGTGTTCAGTGGCCAGCCAATTGATCTTTAAGAAATGAGCTGCATGTGATATATGGTCCTCCCCAACCAATTATTTGGATTTTAGCTCGTTGCTTAGAACTAGGAGTCAAACTCAACAAGATGTCCAGATGATTTTCCATGAAATCAAAATAGCTTTCACTGTGGAGAACCAACACATCCTTCTTGGACCTATTACGTTCTAGATTCCTGCTGCTTTCCACTTTGAATTGAAATGAGAGCAATGTATCTTGTTCATCCCAATATCTTTTTATCCTAGGGAGTAGCCTCTAGCCTTAGCAGTATCTGCAAGGTCTTTGGGAATTGAGAATCCACTCTGCCCAACACTTATCCTTCATCACATACAATTGCCTAATGCTGCACATGTTACTCCATTATAGAACTCACTGGCCAAGGTATTTATGGCCTATTGTCAGTTGGGATATTTTACATCAACAACTTAAGCATTATGTGTCTGTTCCAGCTTCTCATCACCACAAGACAAATGGAATGTATGTACCTCTCACACAGTTGGCAGTATTTTCACATACGGAGCTTAAAAGCGTTTCTTGCTTCAATCAGTTTGCCATTTTGATGTAGAGCCTACACTGGCCAAAATGCTTGCATGCATTACAAATAAGATGCAATCCTTAGTGAGGTTGTTTGGTGTGGGGGGGATGACTCTTGAACTACATTTGAGTTTTGTGTTCCCCTACTTGGTCACCATTTCCACGATACTGAAGAATTCATGATGTATCTGTTGGTTTCTCCTTCCGTTGTCAGTGTCAATTCAAAATGAAAATCAAGCACTGGAGCAAGCTCAAAAGTTATTGAACTACAGTAGCGGCTTGCACTAATTGTATCCCAGATCAGACGTTCACAGAGCAGCACTAAACAGCAGCAGCACAATTGGTTACCCAGACATGTTGTATCTCGAAGGGTGACGGTAACTGAAAAAATAATAGTAGCTTAATTCCAGGCTTCAGAGACAACAGCATTGGATTATAGGGGTTTTCAGACCCAATAAATCAGTAAGGCCAATAATCAGTTAGGAAACTGGAGGGAAGCTTTCTATTTTTTCAAAAAGACCGTGCATTGAAGAATCCCCCCCCAAAAAACTTGACAGCTAGAACCTGAGTTTGTATAATTCCAAGAATAATTCATTGCTTTATACAAAGCTGGGCACCACTTTGTCTAATGAAAGAAAACAATTTAGGATTGGATAACGCCTTACAAATAAAGACTGTCATGCCTAATCTGCTTGTTGGAGTGAGATACAAGATTGGACCTCCAGTGCCCTGTTTCTCCATTAAAGTGGCGTGCTTGCCCAGAGCAATGCTGTTTGTAGAAGGAAAGGCTGCTAGATATTTTTTTCTCAGGTGGTTAGGGTTAGGGTTATGCTTTCCGCCAGAAGTCTGGTGGTTCTTAAATGTGTCTCAAAGTAAATTTAGTGTGTTCTTTGGCCTGGCTAGAGAAACCTCTCTCTTCTTCATCTGTACAAAAAAATGCTTCCCCACCTGGATGCTTTAGAATGCATTTAGCTATAATCAGGTCACAAAATCTTGGCTTATGGAAGAAGTAGCACACTACTGTAAGTTGTGCAGTCTTCGTCAGAGCTTTTGTTCCTGGGTGTTTTCTGTGGTAGTGAGAAATGTTAAAACCTCACACTTGATCTGTTGGGATCAAGTGGGCTCTTTCCCCACTGTATCTGGTCAGTGGATTGTGGAAATAATACAGTGGATTAAAATGGAGAGGGTAGAAGACTACTTTGAGTAACGCTGCAGAGCTAGCCATTCCTGTTCCCATGTTGCAGAGATGCCACAAAACATCATAGGCATCCAGACAGGCAGTTAAGATGGGGAGGAAGGAAGAATGGCATGTGAGAGGCCTGGAGTAATTGCCAAGCTGCCTTCATCTCCGATGTGTGCCCAGCATAACCTTGGTGATGAAATTGACGATGGCCGATGCTGGCTGCTCAGGATCTAACTCAGCAAAAAGATGGCAGACATTCTCACATGGATTGCCTTGTTTCTTGGCAACAAAGCCAAAGATCCTGCAAAAGACAGATGGTACATGTCAATAGTGGTTATGGCTTCTGCTCTTCTTGATTTTCATCCTATGCTGATCAAGGATCAGGCCATAATAGCAATAGCAGACTTATATACCGCTTCATAATGCTTTAAAGCCTTCTCTAAGCGGTTTACAGAGTCAGCGTATTGGCCCTAACAATCTGGGTCCTCATTTTACCAACCTCGGAAAGATGGAGGGCTGAGTCAACCTTGAGCAGGTCAGGATCGAACTGCCAAACTGGTGGCAGCTGGCAGTCAGCAGAATTAGCCTGCAGTACTGCATGTTAATTCTGTTTTTCCGTGGTTTACAGCAGGGGAGAAAGGGGGAAGGTATCGGACTGGCATCAGTAGCATTGTAATAGTAATACCAGCTTTAGTGTTACCATTCTGATTATCACAGTTTCAAAGGGGATGGACTTTATACCCAATATTGTACACTGCTTTCAACATTTTGACAAAAACAGTGAATTCCAGTGGATTTTGCTGCTTATAGAAGTGTTTCTCTGTTCCCATGGGATTGCCTTAGTTCTATTCACCCAATGTAAGAAGCCATAGTTTTAACTTGAGGAGAGGAAGACGGGAAACATGAAACTCCACGTAGAAGGAACATTTTATCACGTGGTGATTATGGGGGAAAAAAACCCTCAAAAATATTGGAAAGGAGCAAAATATTCAGAAAAATCCTATAGATAAAACTTGAGCTGAAATCACAAATGTATTTGTTAAGTGTAATACCAGGAAATTTGGGAGAGATCACAAAACAGCTGCAAGAACAAATTAGGCACACTGGGGAAAAAAGAAAAAAAATAGATACTTGGGAAATCGTTTCTAGGAAAAAAGTTGACATTAATCAAAATAATAGACAAAAAGATTTAAATAGATACTAACAATAATCATCAGTGTTTGTGTGAAGTATAAACATCTGGGTTTTTGTCAACAGTTGGGAAAGCAAACTCAATGTTGTCACCGTACAAAAATAAAACCTAAATGTTGGTAATACCGTAGAATGGGGATCTTTCAAACTAAAATCTGATCCAAGCAAAGTCTTCCATATCTAAAAAGTCAATCTATTATACTGTGTATCAACATGCTATTGTATAGCTTAATGTTAAATTAATGTTTTGCTTGAACTTGTTATCATATGTTTTCACGACTTGTGGTCTTTCCATTACTTACTTGGATGTAGTGCCATCCGTGTTGGCCCACCTAGAATTAAAGCATAGAGTCAGGTTAAGAAAATACTCTTCTCCAATCAGTTGCCTTTAAAGCAGACTCACAAAACACGTCCTAGAAGCAGTGCTGCTTCACTGAAAGATAGTGTACTTTGCATAAAAAGGAAGAAAATTGATACTCCTGTAATTAAAGCAACAGCAGTTGATCAGAAATGGGGATTTGTAGTGGGGATTCCAACATCCTTTAATTTCAGCCAATATTAGCTGAAAAGCTATGTGCTCTCCATTCCTGGTTTAAGTATCCCTCTTGAGTTAAATATTTTTCCTGGTTCAAATATCTCCACCTACTGAAATTTCAAGGAACTGAGAATTGAATAGCTTCATATATACTTGTGAAGTATGGTATATACTTCATAATATTTAAAATACTTTAAAAATTAGACATGCAAGTTGTGTTTGCAAAGCTCTTCTTGCCATCAAGGTAGAATATTACTCCAGAGTTTGTTAATGTCACTGAAGCAGCGCAACTAAGTATTGTGTTTTTGGAACAGTCATCACAGCAAAGAAAAATCAAACAGAAAGCAAGGTTCTTTTTACCAAATAATGCACAATACTTTGAAATGGAAGTAAGTTGAAAAGTAGAAGTAATCCCCTAACTACAATGAGCTAATAGCAATTTAGCTGCAAGTCATGTTCAACAACATTTCTGCATATGGAGAAAAAAGTATTACTGACAAGGATTAAATAAGGTAGCCCTTTTTCATCCAAGGATCCTTACGCTATAAAATACTGCATGCCTTTCTTACAAGGTGCACCCTATAATGATGGTCATAGTGCAAATAAGGAAAGTTGGTTGTAGAAATGAAAACAATCAGACCAACTCATAGAACTTCTCCAAAAGTCTCCAAAATGGAAACATGGGCCCTATTCTGTAGCTGCTTATTAAAAACCCGTGGTTTGCAAATATTATCTTCTAAAGGCCAGGAGTAATTCACATAGGCAATTTCACAGTTACAGCTGAAGAAACTACCACGCACATCTTGGCCTCACAAACCAAGCATTGTTTACCATCACAGCATACAATGAGTAGAAATATAGGATAGACACTGAATGCAAACTGCATTAATAAGGTATCAGGCCATTGCTCCAACAAATTCGTTATTGCCTACTGGGACCGCTAGCAATTCTGCAAGGCATCTTCCTTGGGTTGCAGAAGATTAACCCTGGCTCTTTCTGCATATAGTATACATGCTGTACCGCTAAGCACAGATTCCGTAGCATCCAGGCTGACATGGATTTCCATGGATACAAGCTACACAAGAACCAAGATTGTTGGTTACCTGCGGTCCTGAGGATCCGTGCTGCAGAAGGTAACACTGTTGACTGGATAATGACGCCGGAAAAACAGCCTATGAGAAGAAAGAAAATTTCCTGAATACAAGAGAAAACCCACCCCAGAGCTTCATCCATAGGCTTATAGAAGCCAACAATGGGAAGAGGGAGGAGAAGAAAGGGATATCCAGACAATTAAGGGGTCCTTGGTGCTCTCTGAGCTTGCTTGTTTTCTTGAAGACGTTTCATTACCTTAACGAAGGTAACATCATCAGTGCTAGTGCGCTGATGTTACCTACTTAGGTTAAAGAAACTGTCGGCACGGCATTCCTGAGAGAAACATCTGCAAGGGAGCAGAGAGGACCCCTCATTTCAACTCATGAGCTACAAATATTCTCCTTTATTGAAGCAATTAAGGAACAAGGCACGTGAGCAGGGAATATATGGGAGAAGCACAGAGATGACCTTGTATACCGAATGCAGTGCTTGTTAGCAAAATCCAGGAAAACAAAGTGAGAGAAAGAAACATAAAATGGTCCACTTTAATTAACTCTCTCTGCTATAAGAGGAAAGGAACGGGAAATGTCGGGCTTTCAAGATTCCCTATCAAGAGAGAGTTCTAGTATTCCTTGTATCTGTTTCCTGTCCTGGCCTACCTTGAAGGGCTCATAATGAAAGAAGAAAGAGCCTGCAGCTGCATAAAGGAAGGGTATCATGGTGCCTGGGAGCAGAGCAATGATGTTATTCAGGTGGGGGGAGAACTGGTTCGGTGACGTCATATTGTCACCGCTACCGGCTCGGCCGAACCAGACCGAACCGGGAGGAACCCACCACTGACTTACTTCCTCTGGTTGTCTGTGAGTGTGATGCCTTGGGCTGACACCTTGAAGTGAACGGTACTGGCCGAAGCATGGGGAGTCGAAGCCAGGATACTGGTGGTCGCCTTCGCCACAGCCTGTGGCCCCGTCAGGGACTCTGTTTCCACAGAGCTCAGGTAAAGCACGCTGCAGGCTGCAATTTGGGAACAGAGTGAGGAAAAGAATACCAGTTCAACAAAAGCAAGGAGTGTCTTCCAGAAGGGGCACGTGGTTTACTTTCAGATGCTTGACAACCAGAATTCAGAATGATTACTGATCTCCCGCCACCCCAAGGGATCTCAACTTTGTCCAAGTTCCTATGCCTGTGATGGCGAACCTATGGCACATGTGCCAAAGGTGGCATGCAGACGCCTCTCTGTGGGCACGCATGCTGTCGCCAGCTGCTCTTCTAGTTTTCAGCGCTTACATGCACACCAGCCAGCTGATCTTTGCAGGTGCCGGAATGCCAGAAAACGGCCTGAAAACAGCCTGAAAAACAGCCCTGAAAACGGCCCAAAAAACGCCCAAAAAACAGGCATGCGTGCCGACCAGCTGGTCTTCGGGTTTCTGGCACTCCAGCGTGCGCACACACAGACATGCACACGCATGCATGTGCGTTCCGGTGCCAAAAAGGTTCGCCATCACTGTCCTATGCACTTAATTACTGGAAGTCCTCGATTTACAACAGTTTTCTTAGTGACCGTTTGAAGTTACAGCGGCCCTGAAAAAAGCAACTTTTGACCATTTTTCTCACTTATGACCATTGCATTATCCTCATGGTCACGTGATTTTATATTCAGATGCTTGACAACTGGTTCGTATTTATGACGGTTGCAGTGTCCCGGGGTCATGGGATTATATTTTAAGATCTTCCGTGAAGCAAAGTCAATGGGGAAGCCAGATTCACTTAACAACCGTATTACTAATTTAACAGCTGCAGTGATTCACTTAACCAATAAGAAAAGTCATAAAATGGGGCACAACTCACTTAGCAAATTTCTGACTTGGCAACATAAATTCTGGGCTTAATTGTGGTTGTAAGTCGAGGACTACCTGTATATCCACATGAGGTTTTTGAGTCTGACTAGTCACAGAATTATATGGATGAGACAGAAGGGGTCATCTTTCATTCGTAGCCATGCCCTATCTTCTCATCTTCCATGTGAGGAAAACTCAGTCAGGAAGTAGCAGGGGTTCGAATCCCAGAAGGGTATGGCTAGCTGATGAGAGCTAAATAGCTTGAAAAAGGTCTATACTAGTCTCCCTTTATTTCTTTGTCGGTAAAACATAAATTTAACATAAAAATAGTTTGTCGCGAAAGTGACTGCCTGTGAAGGCTCCTGGATTGGGGCTGAGAGGTGAAAGCGGAAACAGTATGCTCCATCCCATAATTGGGTAGACCAGGTTGCCCTGCTACTAAACTCTCAATCAGGAAGGGGCATAATCAATGGGCACGTTTTCCTTTTTATTGGAAGCATCCTGTGGATTCTTAGGGGTCTCTTATTTAATTTCTGAAAGTTAACTCTGAATCAGATGTTCGTTTTTTGGCTTGGTGGGCGTGGCAGGGGAAGGATACTGTAAAATCTCCATTCCCACCCCACTCCAGGGAAAGGTTACTGCAAAATCCCCATTTCCTCCCAATCAGCTGGGACTTGGGAGGCAGAGAATAGATGGGGGCGAGGCCAGTCAGAATTTTTACTACTGGTTCTCCGAACTACTCAAAATTTCCGCTACCGGTTCTCCAGAACTAGTCAGAACCTGCTGAAACCCACGTCTGGTGTGCCTACAGGGAAAATGAGCAGTCAGAGAAAAAGGGCCTTCTCCCTCCTTCTCCCTCAGCCATTTCTTTCCACTAAACCGCATCCCACTTTGAATTTATAGCTTTTACACAGAGCACTAAGGGCTCCCCAATGTCCCCGTTGGCAATTGTGCTATTAGAACCATAAGGCTTGCCATCTATCGATACTAAAGTGGTTCTGGCATCTCTTCCCATCTTTAACAGCTGCCTCAGCTGGGATTACCCTGGTAGAATTGAAGCAGATTTCCCGCCACCAAGAGACTAAATCTTGTTTAGTGCCGAGCATTGCTTTTTGCCCATCCCCTTGCGATTACTACAAGCAGGATAATTGGAAAATACATTTGCTCGATCCACTTACATTACAGAATGGGGCTTTTCTTGAATTTGGCATAGCCCTTAATTAAGACCTTAAAATTCCAGAATTATGTTAGAAATCAAATAAATTACATGAGGTAAATTAACACTTACTGACCGCCTACAACTGTTTCCCTAATTTGGTCTGAATAAATTGATTCCTGTCACACTGTTCATATTTTTAACCCTGTCTTGAGTGTTCACAAAGCCACTTACTCTTTGCTCTCCTCCCTCCCCAGTGCTTACCTGCTCCCTGCTTCAGCAGGTCAGCAGCAGTGCTCATATTGGTGGGAATGGCCAGCTCTGGTCTTTCCTCAGTGAGATCTGAAAAGCAGGAATCAGATAATGTGGAGAAGTAATATGTATCCTCTTGTTTTTCAAACTCGGCAACTGTAAGGTATGTGGATTCCAACTCCTAGCATGCTGCTTGGGGAATTCTGGAGTTGGAAGTCCACAAGTTGCCAAGTTTGAAAAACACTGATCTACCCAGTACTTTCCCATCTGTTGAGATCACCATTTGCCAGGCTAGGAATTGGACATGTCGCTGGGCAAACAGCAGACTCGCTTGACTTCTTCTGGATGAGGTTTCCATGATAAGAGTCGCTCTGCTCGGAAGTAAGCAACCCGGAACTCCTCAGATTTTTCTAAAATGGCCGTGTAGGCTGGGACTAGCAGCATTTGTCCTGCAGCAGGAGCCAGAGTGCCACATGTTGCCCACATCAGCCTGTCGGCCAGTGGTGAAATTCAAATTTTTTTACTACTAGTTCTGTGGGCATGGCTTGGTGGACGTGGCTTGGGTATGGCAGGGGAAGGATACTGCAAAATCTCCATTCCCATCCCACTCCAGGGGAAGGATACTGCAAAATCCCCATTCCCTCCCCACTCCTGGGGGAAGGATATTGCAAAATCCCCATTCCCACCCCACTCTGGGACCAGCCAGAGGTGGTATTTTCCGGTTCTCAGAACTACTCAAAATTTCCACTAACGGTTCTCCAGAACCTGTCAGAACCTGCTGGATTTCACCCTTGCTGTCGGCGTAGCCTCCAAGCCACTAAACAACTTTACTATGGAGAGCAAGAAGTGAAAGAGCTATCCTGGCTGGGCAGTTGACCCTTGTGTCATGCCTCACTCATTCTCATTATAACAGGGAGTCCCCAATTTTGGGGGGATAGGGACACATTAGGAATTACATGCAGTGAGTTATCCTGCAAGATGACTGTGGAGAAGATTGGCTTCGTACAAAATGGGCCATTATGGGGATATAACCAATTTATGAAACATCAATTTCCCTGAAAGTTATTTGCCGTTTCAACCCAGGCATCCACACAGGACTCCTTACAACCCCAGTTTACATTTGTCCTTTTTCTATGTAAATAGGAACACTCGTAAACATTGCACAAGGCTGAAACCATCCATCATTTTATTTTCTAAGAATATTTGTGGGGCCTATTAATTGCGCAGAGGCATTCTTGGAAATAAATATGTTGGCGGCTGGCATTTTCCTTTGCAACAGACCGGATTCCCATTTTTAAAATTAAAAGTCCCTTTGGCGTAATGTACAGTACAAGGGAGATGCAGCGAAGAACCTGGAGGCATCAAGAAGGGAGGCTGCAGGCACATGGATGTCCCAGTGCGATCTTGGGGACCACTGTGTTGGACCTTGAAGTGGGAGGTTGATCCCCGACACAGGCAATTTCCTCGTTTAACATTTATCTCCACTAATTTCATCCACCTCCATCTTTTTCCAGTCTCTGGGTTCTGAGCAACTTCCCACTTGCCTACCTTTGCTTGGGATGCGGAGTTGGCAAGGCAACGAGAGGGGGGTGATGGAGTGCTGGGAGACCAATGCTGGCAGGCTGCCTGTAAAATGAACAACAACAACAAAATGATATCAAGTCAAGGGTTTGTCTCCCATACTGTCTTCCTAACTATCCATTCCTCAATACAGCACCCTTACCCCTGACTGGTGATAAGCTTTCTGAGCCATGGTGGCGCAGTGGTTAGAGTGCAGTACTGCAGGCTACTCCTACTGACTGCCGGCTGACTGCAATTTGGCAATTCGAATCTCACCAGGCTCAAGGTTGACTCAGACTTCCATCCTTTCGAGGTTGGTAAAATGAGGATCCAGATTGTTGGGGGCAAGAAGCTGACTCTGTAAACCGCTTAGAGAGGGCTGTAAAGCACTGTGAAGCGGTATATAAGTCTAAGTGCTATTGCCAAGGATTCTAATTTATTAAGGCGCTTCCCCAAAATGTCACTTGTTTGCTCAGAAGGTGCTCCCATGGTGGGAGCTGTACTATTTTAATCATGGGCTATCCTTGATTATAATTGGGTGGGGCTGACGCCACTAGTGCGTGGCATTAAACGAAGAATGGGTGAAACAACCAATTATTTCTCTGACATCCCCTATTTCCCTCGCCACTCTTCCCTCCCTTTCCAAGCCAGGAAATTGCCAGGGTAAACACAGACACAGATTGCTCATATTGTAAATCTGAACTGACCGTTTTTCAGAAGAGGCTGAGGGCTGGAAACTAAGCCTAATCCCACACAACCCTCATGCTAGAACATTATTTATTTATTTATTTATTTATTTATTTATTTATTTATTTATTTATTTATTTATTTATTTATTTATTTATTTATTGGTTCGATTTATATGCCGCCCTTCTCCGGAGACTCAGGGCGGCTTACAATGCATTAAGCAATAGCCTTCATACTTTTGTATATACCTGCTTAGTAGGGCTTTCGGCCTCCCTTAAGTGGTGTTCTTTTTTATACAAAGTCAGTTTATTGCCCCCACAAACCGGGTCCTCATTTTACCTACTTCGAAAGGATGGAAGGCTGAGTCAACCTTGAGCCTGGTGAGATTCGAACTTGCAGTAATTGCAGGCAGCTGGCAGCTAAGTGCTATTTAACAGCGCTTTAGTCCACTGCTCCACCAGGCTCCTATTTAAGGTCCAGTCCCAGTGTTACTTACCAAAATGGGGCTCATTGTTACAACCCTTGATCTTCACCCCTTTGGGTCCCGTCTCGATCAAGAAGTGGCGCACCAGCTGCTCAGCGGGGTCTCCTAAAATAGGAAAAGGCATCAGTTAGTGATGGTTGTTATCTTTCTCCAGACTTTTTCTAGCTAGCCGGCTCCCAGAGAAGAGGCTAAAATGGAGTTCCTCCTGATGCTGGCAGGGCATCAGGAGGATGCAGAGGATCAGAATCAGATTAGAGCTGGAAGGGACATTGGAGGTCTTCTAGCACAACCCCCTGCTCAAGCAGGAGACCCTGCACCATTTCAGATAGGTGGCTGTCCAGTCTTAAAAACCTCCAGTGATGAAGCCCCTACAACTTCTGAAGGCAAGCTCTTCCACTGGTTAATTGCTCTCACTGTTAGGAAGTGTCTCCTTAATTCCAGGTTGCTTTCATCCTGGTTGCAGAGGATAAATGGATAGGGAAAAGCACACAGATTGGGATCAAGATAGAATGTGTTTTTAGAGTTGTCAAATGCACTTCTCAAAGCTCGCACCTCAGTAGGTGCAGCTGGCAATAAACTACTACTAAGAGAGCTGATACTTTGTGAAGGGTGGTAATCAAGTTGTTCCAAGTCATTGGAAGGTAGTAGTATTGTTCTAAGTCTTAGTTTGGCTTCAGAAGTTTCTGAACCTCAACTCCAGGCAACACCAGCTAGGCAAGCCTACAGTGAGCGATATCAGAAGGTGTAAGTTAGCAGTGAAATCCTCTGAAGTCTGCTATCGGTTCTGTGAGTCTGCTACCGAGAGAGTGCTTTGCGTGTGTATGTGTGCTTTGTGTGCCTGAGGCACGCCCGCGCAGCGCTAAAAAAGGAACATTTTGAAGCCTTCTGAGTCTGCAAAGATAAGTAGAACCGGGGGAGGGGGGAGGGAATCCGCTATGCCACGCGATTTAGATTAGCTAGAAAGCAGGAAATCCGACGATTCTAGCTAATATAAATCGCGCATCACAGCTGATCGTCGGAAATACCGGTTCACCCGAACCTGCAGTATTTTTTATTACCAGTTCAGGAGAACCGGTCTGAACTGATAACATTTCACCCCTGGTGTAAGTTGCCCAGATATCTGGATGGCTACAGACCGCTTAGCTCTAAGCAATTGAGGTATTCCATTTTTGGAAATGGGGAGGGATGCTGAAGAGTGTTTCCCCATCCTTACCTTTGGTGGAATGGTTGATGCTGTTGGGTGGAGGTGTTATCACTTTCAAAGCCAAACCATAGGCCCCCTGGAAGGAGTTACTGTCCCGAATGAGGAAAGTGCCGGGTTCCTTGTCCTTCAGGAGAGCAATGGCTGCTCAGAAAGAGGGAAAGAAAGAGAAAAATAAATATATATATATATCAGTGATTAGTATATAGAAAAAGACTACTGGAGCGGGATGAAAAACTATATTAAATGCAGCAGTCCTTGGGTTGAGGGCTACATCTGGCCCAGGGATGCTATTTAGCAGGTTCTGACAGGTTCTGGAGAACCGTTAGCAGAAATTTTGAGTAATTCAGAGAACCGGCAAATACTACCTCTGGCTGGCCCCAGAGTGGGGTGGAAATGGAGATTTTGCAATGTCCTTCCCCCAGGAGTGAGGAGGGAATGGGGATTTTGCAATATCCTTCCCCCAGGAGTGGGGAGGGAATGGGGATTTTGCAATATCCTTTCCCCAGGAGTTGGGTGGGAATGGGGATTTTGCAATATCCTTCCCCTGCCACACCTACCAAGCTACACCACGCCCACCTAGCCAAGCCCACAGAACCGGTAGTAAAAAAATTTGAATTCCACCATTGATCTGATCTTGATGATGCCATTCAACAAAAATCTAGCAAGGCCAGAGTGAAAACTAAACCAATTAAAATTAAGTCACATACAAGGATGATAAGAAGTCAAGGGGAGGGGGATGGAACGGCCATGAAAGAAAATGAAGGAAGTGAAAGCAAAATGGTGACAGAAAGAGAAACTGTTAGATTCGATGATGGAAGAGGCGGACACAGCTCTTTCGATAACAACAGCTCTTTATTAGTAGACCAGTGCAACCCAATAACCTGCTTGTTTGCCAGACAGCTTAACCAATGAACTCCAAGTATTTTCCCGCTGTTTTGGAGGACCTGAGTGAAGCCTATGACTCACTCCTTATATGGTCATATCACTTTCTGTGATACATAACAGAAACAACAAGTCTTTTTTTAAAAAAGAAAGAAACATTAGATGATAGATTAATCTCCCAACAAAATGATTGGAAAGTGTGGAAGCTGCTTATGACGTTATATTATGAAGTGCCAAAGGAGATATATGGAGTTAGGCTAAGGAGACCTATGAAAAAGGTAGCTTGGCAACATGATGTTAAAAAGGCAGTGGAAAAATGCCTGTAAGGGAATGATGGCTGCAGAAAATGAGAAAAAAAAAGAAAGATGGCGAAATTGGGAACAGCCCAGATGTGGTCTGAGATAGCCAGTAGTCTTCTCTTGCTTATCAAATGGCCTGATAAAAACCAAAACTTTCGTGCTGCTACAAGGCAAAAGCCCAACAGCCTTAGCAGTCTTTTATTGGGAACTATAGGCGCTTGGAACAAAAACAGATAAACTGCATATGTAGCCTGGCCTTTTCTTTGCAGTTCAGATTGTTACACCCAAGCCCTGTCCAGGAATACACAGAATATACGTTTGCAAGGTTTAAGCTTAACATGGATTATGAGGTTTGGACTGAGAGAAAGAAAAAGAAGAGAAGACTTTGTGTGCAGAAGAGACAGAGGCATGAAGATGATGGAATAGGTATGCATGGTTTACATCCATCATCTGTACCCAAGGCAGGTAGTCCTTGACTTACGACCATGACTGAATTTATGTTGAGAAGTGAGAAGTTTGTTAAGTGAGTTTTGCCCCATTTTACGACTTTTCTTGCCACGCTTTGTAAGTGAATCACTGCAGTTGTTAAATGAAACAACCCTGGTTGTTAAGTGAATCTGGCTTCCCCCATTGACTTGGCTGGTCAGAAAGTCGCCAAAGGCGATTTCCATGACTCCTGGACACTGCAATGGTCATAAATGTGAGTCAGTTGTCAAGCATCTGATCATAAATCACGTGGCCATGGGGGATGCGGTAATGGTTGTAAGTGTGAAAAATGTTCATAGGTCACTTTTTTTCAGTGCTGTTGTACCTTCAAATAGTCACTAAGTGATCTGCTGTAACTCGAGGACTACCTATGCCATTCTTATTGTATTAGTCCATCCAGAATGTTGAAGTGAAGAAGAGTGTGGTTGCATTCTCAGTGAATTGGCGCAGATCAGCTGATGGGGCTTTGGGTGGTGAATGATTGCATGGATAATGAACAGCAGCCCTTAATAATGACCACTGAAGGAGCCCTTGAGCCAATTACCATGTTTCCCCAAAAATAAGACTCTGTCTTATATTTTTTTGAAGCCTGAAATAAGCGCTTGGCCTTATTGCCATGCGCTCAAAAGCCCGATTGTGCTTATTATCAGGGGATGCCTTATTTTGGGGGAAACAGGCAGGGATACAATGCTCCCAGTTCAGACCAGATCGCCCAATCCGGTAGCGATGGCGGTAGCTGGTTCAGAGAACCAGTAGCAAAAATCCCTGCGCCCCCCCCCCATGCCCAGCTGAGCCGCGTGATCATCAGAGGCTTTTTTCTTTTAAAAGCCTCTGCCGATCAGGCAACTCAGCTGGGATCGTCAGAGCCTTTTGAAAGCATTTTTTTGCAACCTCTTCACCGAAAAGGTTGTAGAAAAAATGGTTTTAAAAGTTAAAAAAAAAAAAAAGGCCATGCCCACCCAGTCACATTACACCCCCCACCACCAAACCACACCCACAGAACCAGTAGTAACAAATTTTAGATTTCACCACTGGAAATAGGGTACCAACCTAGCAAAATTCTTTGTACTCTGATTCATCCAGCACATGGGAGACGAGCAGGGAAGGGGAACTTAAGGTGAAGGACGCAAAAAGAAAATCATGTTTTCACTGGAACTGCAGGAGGCAAACTACATCTTGCCCATAAATCTGCAACCAGTGCAACACATGGAGTAGGGAGGGAGGGGGGTCACCAACGTGGACTGTGGTGCTTTTTAAAAACAGGAACATTCTGTACAGGGAGATGGAGGCGGCCTGTGTATGAGCATGTGGGATTGGCTGCTCCGAGTAAAAGAACTATTCCTGCCCTAGAAAGAAAATGTCAAATACTGACTGTGTTAAATCACAGGCAAAGCAGCCAAAATTGTTTGGGAGTTGCATACCTTGGTCCCGAGACAAGTGGGGCTTGTACCAGAACTTTGACGTGTCTTGGACAAATTTGACGCTAACCGGGTTCTCTTGCTGGAGATCTGGAAGAAGCAAAACAAAAATTTCCTCTCCCAAATGCAGGAAAGCTTAAAGGTTTAACGAACTTTAAAGCATCCACAATATATATTTGCTACTGAAGGCTAGAGATAGCTAATGGGACAGTGGGCTAGAAATGTTTTGCTTACATAATTAAATTACAATTTTAAAGGTCTGTGCAATAATAACTCTCCTTTGAGTCAGCTTGAGTCCTGCTGCTTACTGACACACCCATCCATATACTTTGTAGTAGACGGCGGGTATGGAAGTGACAGGCTGCTATCTTCGAGAACAACTTCTTTGAATTCCCAATTTAAACTATAACCTAGGATTTTCTGGTGATCACCCACCAGGTAGTAACTGTTTTTGATGCTACTTTGCTTTCTGAGATCAGCCAAGGGGACTAGCTATTGCCACCCAGCTGGCCTAAACACATAAGAGAGAGAGAGAGAGAGAGAGGTAACAGACAGACAGACAGACAGACAGGGATCAGTCGCAGGAACATTTCTATCAAGCAGCGCCATCTGAAGCAACAGAGTTGAAATAGCCAAGGAGAAAGAGCTGAACCATCTCGGTGTCTTATACGTAGTTCCTTTTGGAGAAGTCTTGGGTAACGGCAGAGAAATTAAGGGTCTGAGCCAGCAGAAAAACACTAAGGAAGCAGGCTCAAAGTATAAAGCCACGGTGGTGCAGTGGTTAGAGTGCAGTAATGCAGGCTACTTCTGCTGCCTGCCGGCTGCCTGCAATTTGGCAGTTCAATTCTCACCAGGCTCAAGGTTGACTCAGCCTCCTGTCCTTCCAAGGTGGGTAAAATGAGGACCCAGATTGTTGGGGGCCATAGGCTGACTCTGAAAACCGCTTAGAGAGGGCTGTAAAGCACTGTAAAGCAGTATATAAGTCTAAGTGCTATTGCTATAAAAGCAAAGACACTGAAGGCAATAGCTAATTCTTCCTCCACCCGTTACATTTCAAGCATTTACTTGGAGAACATTACCTGGGCCAGGTGCAATGCCGTCAGGCACCCCAGGGGCAAAGGTGACATGGTGAGCAGAGCCTGGACTACGCCCGGGTGGTGAGTTCCTCTCCCAGGTCCTGGTGGCCAGTAGGTGATGTTTCTCAGGCAGCGGAGGCTGCTGGGACTCCCGAGGTTGCTCTCGGCTGCCAGAGCTGCCCTCCATGCCTGTGTAGTAGGCTGTTGCAATGGGGAAGGCTGGAGTCGGTGAGCTCTGCATATCAGCAATGCCACAGCCGAGCGCTGGGGGCTGGATGCTGAGGGAGCAGGGCCCAAGAGAGGGGCTGAGGTTGGGACCGTGGGGAAGGCCCTTTGCGTCCAGTTCATCTCGCTCAGTCTGCAATCTCCCATTGTAGATGGCCGGAGTGGTAGGTGAGGCTGGAGCACCAGAGACTGTCCTGCAGCCAGGAGAGGGCTGGCTGGGGCAGGGAGCCTTGGGCATGAGCCTCTGGGGCTGTCTCTCCATGATAGGCCCTGGCTGATGCTCCAGAGAATCTTGAGGGGGCAACTCATGGGGCATCGGCACTGTAGCACTAAGGCCACAGGCATCGGAGCCATTTTGATGCTGCTGCCTTTCCAGGAAGGGAGAGTGCTTGGCGGGGGCCGAAGGAGGCACGTGTGGCGAACTAGAAGCACAGTAATTGCGAGAACACAGCTGTGGCGCCTGGAGGCCTGGCCTCTGGGGGGCTCCATTAGCTTGTGGCCTGAAGGCAGGGAAGTGCACGAAAGCCGGCATTGGGGATAAGATTTGGGATGGGTTGCCTGATGAGGTCATTCTCTCAGGGGCTCTTTTGTATCCAGGAGAGGATTGCTCCTCAAGGTTTGACTGGAGCATGTTCTCCAGGGGGCTGGCGGTCTTGTGGCAGAGCTTGCGAGATCCAGGGCTGCAAGGACAACAAGCATAACGTCAGTAAAGTTTAGCAGACAATCAGGAGGAGTCGGGGAGCATCTGACATACACGTATTATTAAAAGTTCCATCTGATGAAGGGAGTTGCAGCTCACAAAAGTGTCTGCCCTTTAATAAAATGTGTTCATCGGAAAAGCCTGACTCGGCCTGATTTTTTTTTCTTTTTTGCCCACACAGACTAACACAATTCTACTTCTATAAAGTTTGGCAGTTATGTCTAATAGGAAGAAATTTCTGGGATTGTGGTGAAATGCATCCTTTCAATTCCAAAAGTGCCGATCCCAAAACACATGTGAAAAAGAACAAAAATTAAAAACCCTCGCAACGTAGGTAAACAAATGCTATTAGTCCATGGATCTGCTTATTTAGACTAACTGGCCACACTTCCCAGTTTTTTAAAAGTTTCCTGGCTTGTCACTTAAAGGCAGTTTTACAAATCTGCATTTAAAGCAACCAGGGTCAAGCACCAATGAAAGTAAAATAAAAAGACTTCTAACAAAATTGTTGTACAAAGAGCTTTGATTTGTTGGCAAGTTCTGCAAATGCAGAAGTATGTACATGTATTATACTTCAGAACATAGAATAATAGTGTTGGAAGGGATCTTGGAGGTCATTCTGGATTTTTTGGAAGGCTTAATGGGATGGATACACCTGATCATAGAAAGAATAACACAACAGAATAATAGAGTTGGAAGGGACGTCAGAGGTTCTCCAGTCCAACCTGCACCCAAGCAGGACACTCCATACCATTTCAGACAAATGGCCGTCCAGTCTCTTCTTAAAAGCTTCCATGATGGAGCACCCACAACCTCTGGAGGCAAACTCTTCTTTTGGTTTACATACAGTAAATACATTTGACTGAAACAATTATCATTGTAATATTCCATTAATGTAGCCTTAAAACAAAGTAGAATTAGCTCATGTTGTATTTCCTGTCTGATCTATTTGGCATCGATCCTGCAAGAGCCTTGGTAGTACAGTGGTTTAATGCACCCTGTTATTAACACAGCTGCCTGCAATTTCTGCAGGTTCGAATCTTACCAGGCTCAAGGTCGACTCAGCCTTCCATCCTTTCTAAGGTAGGTTAAATGAGGACCCAGTTTGTGGGGGCAATAAGCTGACTTTGTATAAATATACAAAAGAATGAAGGCTATTGCTTAACGCATTGTAAGCTGCCCTGAGTCTCCGGAGAAGGGCGGCATATAAAACAAATTAAAAAAAAAAAAGTCTGAAATTACAAGTCCCCCACTGTCTCTTTTCTATCAATTGTTCAGTTAGAGAGATTCCTTTCTAAATTCCCTAGGCAGCATCTCTTCCCCTTCTCTCCCAAGGCCGTTCCCATGTACTATTACAGCACCTGTTGACCTGTCACCTTGGCAGCAATAAGTAGAGAACATGGTGAGTTCATCCACCCATCTGAAAGGCATTAAGACTGGGAAAACATCACAAGCCTATTTGCGGCTACTAGCCTTGACAGTGTTGTCTCAGATTCATTACAAACCATACCATGAAGTCAATGTCAACTTCTAGTGGGTATCTAGACAAACATTCTCCAGAATGATCTGTCCCCGGGTTGGTCTTTCAAGTCTTCCAACAATGCACCTATTGCTACGGGAAAACCATGGCTCACGTGTTTAAGATGCTAGGTTGGAAGTTAGCAAGCCTGCATTTAAGACCCATGTGTTGTCGTGTGGCAGGGTGAGCTCCTGTCCTCCACTCCAGCTCCTGAAAGGATCCCTCAACTGGTCATTCCCCCAGGCAACAGTGATGTCACCAGAGAATCCTTTCAACCCTTTCAAGGTGCTTCCGACACAACACACAAGTGTGATGCGATCGATTGCTGCTGTAATTGAACCCATCTCCCTTGTGGCTGGTTGTCCTCATCTCTTCAGTTCTACCATTTCCAGTATCACAGACTTCTCAAGGGAACTAGGTCTTTTAGATAACATGCTCAAAAATATGATAATCTGAGACCGGTCCTTTGCACTTCAAGTGCGAACTGGTGCTGATTTGCTGATGACTCATTGGTGTCTTTCCTTGGCTATCTACAGCCAATATTTATGTGGCTGTGTGTTGTAAGGAATCTTCACGTCAAACTAAAGTTTCAAGAAACTGAAAGGTTTTTCAGAATAGCACTGCATTACAAGCACAGATTCAAGCATAAACTCAGAGTCACGCTTGTTCTCACTCTAACTTTTATCACTGTACCCTAACCAGAGGTGGGCTGCTGGAAATTCTCAGGGGTTCAGGAGAACCTCTAGCTAAGATTCTGTGCAGTTCGGAGAACCCCCAAATCCCACTCCTGGCTGGCCCCTCCCACCCCTCCCCTCCCCTCCCAGGAGTCCCCACCCAGCCCTTTTTGGATGCAGGTAAGTGCAGGGCGCGAGCGGCGGCTCAGGGAGGGTGAAAAATGGGCCTACAGGAAGTTCGGGAAGGCCTCCAGAGGGCCTCTGGAGCCTAGGAAGACTGTTTTCGCCCTCGCAGAGGCTCAAGGAAAGCCTCTAGAGCCCGAGGAGGGCAAAAACACCCCCTCTGCTGTGGTGCAGGAGGCTGACTAGGCCACGCCCATCATGGCCATGCCCACTCAGCAACCGGGCAGAGAACCCTTTGCTAAAATTTTTGAAGCCCACCCCTGACCCTAACAAATGACTAGGAAGGTTCAGTGCATTCAGACATAAAGATACCTGTTGTTGTTGTTGTTGAATACAGGACTGCTGGTGTGCACAGGCATGGGAGATGTAGACTCATCTGTACAAGCAGCTCGGACCTCCTGCTGATGAGGTTGTAGGGAGGCAGGCAGGTTTTGCCAGGGGATGCCCTCCCTGCAGTCTTGAAGCTCTAAGGAAAAGGAATGGAAGATGTGCACAAGACAATCAGTAAAGGCGTAAATAACTTCATATGAACTCAGTCCCAATTCTGGGGCTTTCTACCAAGCAAGCCTTGAACACCAGACTGGAGAATGTCTGGACCTTCTCAATGTTGCTGAATTATTCCCAAGATAGATCAGCAGTTGCTGCTAGGAACTCCATCTGGAAAACTACTCTTCCTCTCTTCTTGTTCTTCCCAAGGGAAAATCTAACTAACAGTAAAGCCAGATTTGGGACACTCTGCATTTAATAAAGAAAAGAATATAGCAATGGATTGGGATGATGGATTAGGGAAAACCCAAGAGCAAATCCTCACTCGACTATGAAACTAATTGGGTGGCTTTGGACTGTCTGGTCCTATTCAACAGATTTTGCCTCAATGGTTATTAGGAAGAAAAAAGAGAAAGGAAGAGGTGCATTGTATATGTTGCCCTGAGCTCCTATTTTTGAAGGAAAGTAGGCTATCAATGACATAAAGATCAAAAATACCCGCTTAGCAGGTTATTCCTAGGCCCCCCCCCCGAGGATCCTAGGAATTGAAGTTTTCTGAAGTGATGGCCCAAAATCTTCTAACAGAATTCTCTGAACCAAAATACATTACACTCAGTGGTGGGTTCCAACTGGTGTTACCACCAGTTCTCGCGCATGCACACCAAACTTGTGCTCCGCGCAAGCGCATTAGATTTCTACTCAGCTGAGGCACAGTAATCCACTCTGCCGCATCTATCAGCTGGGCTAAAAAATGACAAATAAAGGTAGGGATAATGCGGGGGCGGGCAGGAGGGCCCAGCTCAGTCATAGAGAACTGATTCACTGACATCACATTATCACCATTACCAGCTCGCCTGAACAGGGTTGAACCGGGAGCAACCCACCACTGATTACACTGGATCACACTGGTCTCACCGGAAGCTTTCAAATGGGCTGTTTCCGGCCTCTAGAAGGCCTCCAGGTGGGTGAGGAAGGATGTTTTCGCCCTCCCCAGGCTCCTAGAAAGGCTCTGGAGCCTGGGGAGAGCAAAAAATGGGCCTTCCCCACACACCACTACCAGGCCCTCTGGAGGCAGGAAACAGACTGTTTCCCTACTTCCGGTGGGCCCAGAAGGCCTGAAAATCAGCTGGCCGGCACGCACTGGAACTGAGCTCACATACCCACCGAAATGGTGCCATAGGTTCACCATCACAGTTCAACCAACCCGCTCATCAGACAGGAAACCCTATACCATTTCAGACAAATGGTGGTCTGATCTCTTCTTTAAAACTTCCAGTGTTGGAGCATTCACAACTTCTGGAGGCAAGTTGTTCCACTGATTAATTAAAAAGAAAATTAAAAATGGCTTGCTTAACAATCGTGGCAGTCAGTTAATGTCCATGGTGGCCACTTTATGATTGTTGCGTTAGCTTTTAACAATCACCCCAAAAAGTTCACAAAATTGGTTGGTCATGTGATGGACCTGTTTTACAAATGTCATGACTTACAACCACAATGGACAGGCCCCATTACAGTCGTAAGTCAAGGACTACCTGTACTAAGGACTGGTCCTGCTGTGGTTTTTTTCCAATGCTCTTTTTTTAGTCCCAAATATTACTATTAATGGTCCTTTTTTCTATTTATTTATTTTTTAAATTATTATTACTAATCATGTCAGAAAAAGGATCCCCTCTTTTCTTGCCTCTTTCTCCTGGCTTGGAGAAGGAGCAACTTTTACTCCTGTCACTCACCACATGGTTGTTCTGTGGATGATGGCAGTAAGTATCCATCGTTGCCCTCTGGGAGTTCATATCCATGCTTCCGGGATGGTGGATACAGCGGGCTGGTTGGTGAAATGGAGCCCGAGTGAGGAGACGCCAAGTACCCCGATGTGTAGGGGGAGAGGCAGGGCTTGACTGGGGTTCTGCCACAGGTATATCCAGGTGGAACTGGATGGTAGGCTGAGCCATAGCGATGATAAGCAAATGCCTCCGCATTATCTTCTGTTACTTTGGGCCTCTGGTGGGCTGGATACCCATGGCCTAAATGAGTGGCCATCACATTGGGCTCAAAGTTAAAAGCCTGATGATGGGGCATGGAATGGGGCCCATAGCTGGCTGGCATTAGGATAGGCACCGGCTGACCACCCCGGTGGAGAGGATGATGAAGCATGGGTGGCCTGTCTACCCCCCAGAAGTCCGGTTCCTGATCCAGGTGTAAATTGTAGAAGGAAGCCAGGGGCAGCCTTGATTCTTCCCGTGCTGCTTCTTGGCAATCTTGGCATGGGCATAAAAAGGTAGGCTGGTCCTCCAAGATAAGCAGCTCATTGGGCTCCCGCCTGTTAGGACTGTGAGGAGGCAGCAGCTCATGGCCGTAGGGGTAGGTATGGGGCTGTAGGCCCTCCGAAAGGGAACGGAACACGCGTCGTTTCTCCTCATATCCCTCCGAGTGCAGGTGAGAGTGCCCCCCATTGTGGATGGGCTGCCGCCGCTCCAAAACACTTTCCGGCCTATAATAGGACATATTGCGAGGTCTCTCGGGGCTGTGGGAGCAATAATCCAGACGACAAGAACAATGGCGGGCCAGGCCAGAACGTGGAGGTTGATAGGAGAAAGAGCTTCCTGGCTGGCCTATATCAGAAAGTTCATCCTCTAAAATGGCTGTTTCTCTCTCTTTAGTGGCAGGAGGAGAAACTGAATGAGAACAAGACCCCTCGCTTGACTGCTGAGGCTGGACGCCAAAGCCCCCCAAGAGCCGATCCAACTCTTCCTTCTCAGCTGGTGTGGGCTGAGGCCTGGATGGAGGCGTGTTGTCTTCTGCCTTCTCCGTTAGCATAGAGGAGTGTCCTGAGTCACTGCTGATGGACAAGAGGCGCCCACCCTGCGGTGGTGGAGACTCTAGGCTTCCTGGGCTGCCGTTGCTGGAGGAGAAGTGACTCAGCTCGTTTTTCTTCTTGACCCGTGCATACAGGCTTCCGTCCAGAGGACCCTGAGTGTGTAAGACATCTGCAAAGGAAAAGAGAGGAACCAGGTCAGAGGTTGTAGGCAGTGGTGGTATTTAGCCGGTTCTATCCGGTTCAGGCAAACTGGTAGCGGCAGCTATGGGAGGCTCTGCCCACCCACCCGGATATCATCACATCCCATTTTTTATGCTCTGCGCATGTGTGGAAGGGCCTGTGCATGTGCAAAGGTCACGCGCGCTCTCACATTTGTGAACCAGTAGCAAAGGTAAGTGAATACCACTCCTGGTTGTAGGAGAGCTCAACATTTACTGCCTAGATGTGGTCTTGAACTTCCATGCTGAGCAGCTCATCAGGTCAAAGGTTTAGATGTTTACACTTGGAATATTTGCGGCGAAAACTATCCTCTAAACAACCTCCGTTTTGGTGCTTCTGACATTTTCCAAATAGGTCAGAATCAGAAGCCATGTTTGTTCTTGGCTTCTGATCCTTAGCTCATTTGAAACCAGCAATACAGGATCCACAGTAAATAAACAATTTTTGTGGTTTCTGCTAGCAGGAGGAACCAAGAAGAATGACACAGAGATCCATGCAGTGCGCTACTTGCAAACAATTGTGCCGCAATTATGTGAAGTGTAAATGATCAATGTTTTGACTAGCTGAAACAATATCTAATCTGGTTCATTTTTGTTGTTTGGGAAGGGATTATAAAGCACGAAATAGATATATAACGTAAATAAATTCATATGCTGTTAGTCCTCAGCTTATAGCAATAGCACTTAGACTTATATACCGCTTCACAGTACTTTATAGCCCTCTTTAAGCGGTTTACAGAGTCAGCCTATTGTCCCCAACAATCTGAATCCCCCTTTTACTAAGCTTGGAAAAATGGAAGGCTGAGTCAACCTGTTAGCCGGTCAGAATCAAACTGTTGGCAGTCGGCAGAATTAGCCTGTAAATACTGCATTCTTACCACTGCGCCACCACAATTGGGAACAGAATTTCCGCTGCTAAGCAAGATGGTTGTTAAGAGAGTCATACTGATTTTACTTTTTGCCACTGATTGCTAAGCAAATCACTGCAATTGTTAATTGAATCACACAGGTGTAAAGACAATCTGACTTCCTCCATTGATTTTGCTTGTCTGAAGCATTCTGCTCTTCCCAGAAGCTGGCTGGGAAGGTTGCAAATATGATCACATGACTCCAGGATGGTGCAACTATTGTAAATACATGCTGCTAACCAAGCACCCAAATTTTGATCATATGAATGTGGGAAATGCTGCAACATTCATAAGTGCAAGGATTGGTCATAAGTCATTTTTTTTTAGTGCCATTGTAACAATGAGTGGTCATTAAACAAACGCTTGTAAGTCAAGGACTACTTGTACTGAAATGAGCAGCAACTCAGTCATTAGGTGAAGCAGTCGTTAAATGAAATTGCAATTGTGCCGAGGATCTTATTTCAGCTTTTCTTTGCTTTACAGACCTGCGAAGATCATAAGTGCAAGAAATCATCATAAAGTTACTACTATAAAGTGAATAATACAAGGTAATACTGTTCGGTACCAAACATTTTTGTGTTTAAATCAGCAATCAAGTCAGCCTATTTCAGTTAAGAAGTCTAGGGATTTTCCAATAGATTTCACCTCTAATTCAATGCAGGTAGTCCTCGACTTACAGCAGTTCATTTAGTGACCAATGAACTGGTTCAAAGTTCAAAGTTACAACGGGACTGAAAAAAGAGACTTGTGACCGTTTTTCACACTTACGACCACTGCCGCATCCTCATGGTCGCATGATCAAAATTCAGGAGCTTGGCAACTGACTCTTATTTATGACGCTGTCCTGGGATCACGTTTTGTGACCTTGGACAAAGGCAATGGGGAAGTCAGATTCGCTTAACAACCTTGTCCCTAATTGAACCACTGAAGTGATTCACTTAACAACTGCGGCAAGAAAGGTCGTAACATGGGGCAAAATTCACTCAGCAAATGTCTCACTTAGCAACAGAAATGCTGGGCTTGATTGTGGCCGTAAATCAAGGGTTACCTGTAGTACAGCTTAAATTTAAGCATTTTAGCCCAGCAGAGGGCAATAGTCCACTACTGCTTATCCAGAGATGTGCTTACTTTGAAAAAAACACGAAGCAGGTTTAAGAAGCCCTTATCCACCCTCCCATTAATCTAAGTCAATCTAAGTTAGGCTCCATCCCCCAAATGCATGGCATTCTCTAGCTACAAACATCGCACTCTGAAACCCAGCTCCGTTTCTCCACGCATCAGTTCTTGCTGGGAAGACGGAGGGAGGAAGTTTGAGGCCATCCGGTTGGAATTTTTCTGGGATCTGACGCAAGCACACCACAACGCTTAAATTGCCATTTAATGACTCCTGTTGGTATTCTATTTGTTTTGGTTCTTAACAAGTTTACTTTAAGTGGACCTTGGGAGGAAACTTATAATGGGGTGGGGTGGGGGGATACGCTGAGAAAAAGGCAGCTGGTGGGATTACAGCTCCCAGGAAGGGAGGGGGAGGAAGCCACCGATTTTTATATGCATGCGTGTAGGAAGAGATGATTTCATCTCTCTGTGTCCAGAATAAGCTGGTCTCAAACTCTTGAAGAATTAAGAGAGAAGGAAATGAGCTCAACTTAGTTCTGTTGTGATGAATGGGCTGAGGCACAGCACAAACCTGCTATGGCGCAGCAAAAAACGTGCACGGCTGTGGCACAACTTACTGGCCATAGCTATGGGAGCTAACATCCAACAGTCTAAATTGGCCTAAAGCCATTTCACTGAAGCAAAAAAAAAAAAAAAGCATCAACTTTACCTATATTTCAAGGTTGAGTAGAATGCACATTCAGCCTCTTCTAAAGTGGCGTTTCTTAAACTTTTCTCTCCCAAGACCCCTTATCACTTTTAAAAATTATGGCAGACCCCCCAAAAAGCTTTTGTTTGCATGGGTTATATTTCTCAACATTTAGCGCATTAAAAATTAAAATTACCCCTATCACTTGTCAAGATTGTTTGAGGGGATTTTTATATGGTATTATTTTTTAACATAAGCTGACCAGGGGTGGGTTCTACTTACCTTTACTACCGGTTTGCAAAAGGGCCGTGTGTGTGCGCTTCGCTTGTGCATGCACGCTTCTGCGCATTTACAGAATGTGCAGAATTCTGGGGTCGATGGATGGAGCCTCCCGCCGGTTTTACTACCAGTTCTTGCGAACCGGTCCAAACTGGGGGGGCAACCCACCACTGAAGCTGGCAAATAATTTTGACTTTGTAGACATGTGAGAGGATCTTGGGGGATGCCCCAGGTCCTAGGACCACACTTTAATACTACTATAAACAAACATACATTTATAGGCTGCGGTAACCAACATTCTGAACCAATAATTTGCTCAGCTGCAATTTGTACACATTATGCCAATGTTTCTCAGACTTTGTACAGGCAATTAAATAAGTATTCAGAAAAGGCAGGGATCCATCATTTAAATACACCCCTTATCTTTTTATCTAGGAGTTCTCATTGTCACATCATATAATGACTAGAATTGAAGAAGCTTCGTTGAAGAGAAGTGAAACTGTTTCAAAAAAAAGAACCCCAAGAAAGTCCAAGCTGCCTTTTGGGAAAATAGGCACCAAAAAGTTGCATTTGTATATTCTTCAACTTTAAAGACTTTTTAAAATTAAAATTGGTACTCCCCCCCCCCCAATTAGTCCCAAATTATTGTACTACTTGAGTTATCTAATCTCTATCAACAACTCATAGCCCAAACCTGCTGGTCAGAGATGCTTTTCAACAGAACTGTTTTGTTTTTTTGTTTTCAGCCATTGATCCATTTTTGTGAACCAGCTGATTGGCAGGAAATACCAGAGGGGGCTAAATTGATAAGCAGGCTCTGGCAGAAAACGTAAAGAGGCTGCAGTGAGCCTCTACAGACCACTGATAGTCTATAAGTCATAGTTCGCATCACTGCATTAGGCAAATGCACACCTATCCAATGCCTTAATATAAATTGCTGCTTCTACTGTAGAATGGAATAAAAACAAGCCCTAGAACTCTATTAAGCCCCACTCTATTCACCCTCTCCAAGCAATCATCCACAAACAAAAGAGCCTTGATAGTACAGTGGTTTATTGCACCCTGTTATTAACACAGCTGCCTGCAATTTCTGCTGGTTCGAATCTCTCCAAGGCTCAAGGTTGACTCAGCCTTCCATCCTTTCTAAGGTAGGTGAAATGAGGACCCAGTTTGTGGGGGCAATAAGCTGACTTTGTATAAATATACAAAAGTATGAAGGCTATTGCTTAACGCATTGTAAGCCGCCCTGGGTCTCCGGAGAAGGGCAGCATATAAATCAAATTAAAAAAAAAAAAAAACTAGTTTCATAACAATTGTTTAGCCTGAAGCAGAACTCCTCCAGATGCTGAATTCTGCCTGTTTTTCTCCCTTGCACAGATGCAGAACAGCAGCCTAGCCAGCCATGATGTAGCCTTGGAGTCCTAAGTACTATGGGGTTCCCTGGGATCAGGCCTTTTATACCTTCCAAACTGTCCTCATACTGCAGGTTGAAGTTCTCGTAGGAATCCCAGCGGACGATAGGATCAGAGATACTGTAATCCACGGCGACATCAGCATTGTTTCTATAGGTTTCTCGGCCTGTGGGGAGGGAAAAAAAGACAAGGTGGCCCCAAGGAGACCAACAAGCAGTCTGCTTCTCTATCTTAAATTAATCGATGTAGTTCCATTTTTCACAGCAAAGAAGGAAAATGTTCGTTGTGTATCACCATTTCATCCATATGTGTGGAAAGACTAGCTGGGTATTTTTTTTTTTCTCTGATGCAGATTACGCTGCAGGCTCACCAAACTCTGTGTTAGGGACTGGCATCATCCGCCTGAGTTCTCTAAAATGTCTACCACTTGCCCAGCAAAACTAAGGCGCCAACGGTAGCAACTTTTTTCAATACTAAGCATGGCTGCCATTTTAATTGCCCCACAAGGAATCTTGCTCCTTGCTGCAGCATATTGTTGATCCAAGTAAAATGCAGCCAACGTTTTTTGGATGCTTTTGCTCCCGCTTCCCAATACCAAGCTAAAATTTGGGGAGGGGTACATGTAACCAAGCTCTCACGCAAGTGGCATTTCCTAGGGCACACCTCTGCTTTCTCTTCTGAAATTGAATAGTTGCAAAAAGCCAAGATGTTCTCCTGATAAACATCTAATTCCCACAACACTGTCAAGCTACCTACTAGGACTGTATTACTACCCTGTTTTCCCCAAAATAAGACATCCCCTGAAAATAAGCCCAATCAGGCTTTGGAGCACATGGCAATAAGGCCAAGCGCTTATTTCAGGGTTCAAAAAAGTATAAGACAGGGTCTTATTTTCAGGAAAACACGGTATTATTTTTCTCATCTTTCCTATTATCTATTTTCTTATCTTCTTATGATTATAATTTTGTTGCTTGTATCTTATGATTTATATTAATTGTTTTATATAATATCCTTGTGTAATTTGGGTGGTTGATTGCTTATTTAGTATCCTATGACTATCACTAAGTTTTGTATCTTATGATTTATGATTAATGTATTTTATGATGATTATGATCATGATTTATCACTGGTTGCTTGTATGTACACTGAGAACTTATGCATCAGAGATGAATTCGTTTGTTCAATCACAATTGGCCAATAAAGAATTCTATTCTATTCTATTCTATTCTATTCTATTCTATTCTATTCTATTCCATTCCATTCCATTCTATTCCATTCCATTCCATTCTTCTGATGACAATGTTAAAATCTGGGCAAAATTCGTCAACTACTTACATCATGGACATGTTTATCTCTTTTTCAGAGAATATGTAGTTGATTTTTCATGGATATGCACAGGGACAAAAATAAGAGAGCAAATTCTGTAACTCTCACAATTCTCTTAGTAAATATAGACATATAAATATAATGATCTGAAGAGACCCCCACAGATGAGAATGTGATCAGGAAAATATTAGAATGTGCAGAAATGAATAGACTAACGCTAGCAATTAAGGAGAACGAACAAACTGAATATTATATGACATGGGACTTATTTTATCAATGGTTAGATAATAAAAATGGAAGTTAGAAACAGGGAAACAAAAGAAAAAGTTTAGTGAAATAAAGAAGATATGTTAAAAGAGAGAAGCAAGTATTATGATTATTGTTTAATATTGTCATTTTAATATTATAGAATTAATGTTAATGTAATGAATATTGTTGTAAATCTTGATTATCATTTTACAAAGTTATCTGTACCCGGACAACACACTTCAAATGAAAACCTCAGGTCTGTGGGACATATGGGACATAGTGATCTTCAGCAATGCAACAATTAAATTGCCTTCAGGACATTATTTTAAAAAGATGCTACAAAACAGAGGTAGGAAATCTTGTCGCCCAGTTCCTTGAGCTGCTGAAAGACTCCGGGCACTATCGGATGCCAGAAGGACATTATCAGGAGAAGCCTAGTGGAAAATGTCTGTCTTCTTTTTCATGGATTGGAGTTATTTGAAGAATGAAATAGGAGAGTGTTCTTTCAGAAGGGGGTTAAGAGTGAAAGTGAGTTATTTGTCTCCCTGAGGCCTCTCTGTCCTATTCGTGTGTTTATTTGGGAGGGGGGAGGAATGAAAGAGTAAACATTGTGATATTAAAATTTAGCCTCTAAGCCAAAGAAGTCAACCAAAAATAGAATTTTATTGTTTTTCATTCTACAAGAACAAAACCTTCTAGATTGTGGTTGGCTGCCTCTCTTCTTCTTCCCATTTCCTGCTGCCTTCTCAACTCTTTGTCGCAATCACAGAATATATTCTACCCTGACCATAATTTCAATTGAGAAAACATACAGCAGGAAAGGCGGCTGAGCCCTAAACTGGCAGCCAAAGCTCTCTCTGCTGCCAAAGGAGCTACGACTGGTGCAGATAAGAATTAAGATTCTAAGCAAACAGAAAGCCTTCTAATCTCATCTGCTAAGTCTTGAACTCCTGAAGGAAAGGTTAAACATTGAACAAATACCTACAAAAACAAATAGATCCCAAGGCACTTTCTCTGCAGAGAGATCGATAGAATTTCCAGGCCAATAGCTGCCATTTCTGCATCTCCTGCAGGCAGGAGACCAAGAGAGAGAAGCTTAACGTGACTCTATCGGGCTGTGATAAATGACTGGTGATGCATTCAGTGGGCTGGTCTTGCTCTCAGCTGACCTTCCCCAAAAACTGGTGCCCTCCAGATGTTTTGATTACAACTACAGGAGTTCTAGGCCAAACAAAGCTGATAATTCTTCCCATCTGGAGTGCCGTTTTTGATTAATTCCATGCCTCCATCATATTTATCTATTTGCGTTTCTACTCCATATTTCAACGCTGCCTCAAATTGGCAGCTTTTCACATAAGTCTGACCTTGCTTTACTTCATGAAAGATGGATGCCTTGGGTCTAATTCTGTCTTCTTTAGGATTCAAGGTTGAATCAAGGTTGACTCAGCCTTCCATCCTTCCGAGGTGGATAAAATGAGGACCCAGATTGTTGGGGGCAATAGGTTGACTCTGTAAAACCGCTTAGAGAGGGCTGTCAAAGCACTATGAAATGGTATATAAGGCTAAGTGCTATTGCTATTGCTATTCAAAGGGATGCAGTTCATTGTACTGCATCCATTGCTCTTTAACTGCTGTTCACTCACCTTTAATTTTCTCTGGACTAGAAGAGAAGACAAATTCCACACTTGCTTCAAAGGGAAATCTTTCATCTATGGAGGGAGGAAGAACAGAGAAATAGTTCAGTACATTTGGCCTGAACTGTGTCTAGCCAAAATGTTCACCTTCCTTACATATCCTGTTTCCATGCAGAATTAGTTTATAATTCTTTATTATGATAAGAAATGTAACAAGTTTTCCTATCCATAATGCACTTGTCTAATTAGAGGATAATTCCAAAGAATGAATCACACTAAACTCACACAAAATATACAACACTCTGGGGCCACTTTTTGGCCACTTATGATTTCAGGAATATTTTCAAGAGAAGAAACAAAACACAACCATCATGAAACAACACACAACCATCATGAAACAACACATCCTGGGATAAGATGCAACTATAAATCACACCAAATTCCAGATGCATTTTAAAAGCTGCATCAGTGCTCCCAGATGGATGCAATCCTGAATTGGATGTCTAACTGAATGGTTCTGCCAACAAGCTAAAGCAATTACCATCAATTAAAAATTCCCCTTAGGGAACAATTCTAGCAATCCAGAACCAGACGCCATCAAGCCCTCAAGAATAATAATGACATAATAATCAAGCAAACTAACAAAGCAGTTGTTGTCATTGCGAATAAGGTGGGTTACGTCAAGGAAACCAAGATGCAACTCTCCAACACCACATTATAGCAACTCACTTCTTACAACAACATATCAGAAATATTATGCAATCTGATGAACGGTTTCCTAAGAACAATCATTGTATTTACATGGAGACACCGCAAGAGTCCTGATTAGGCATTTTCTATCTACTTGCCAAAATACACAACTCTAGTAAACCAGGCCATCCCATTGTTTCAAGCATTAGAAAGATACAACTGGAAAGTCAGGTTTCATGGACTTTGTGTTCAGACTTTATACACCAGCACTCCCAACTGCATAAGAGATGTCACAGATTCCCTAAGAAGACTGGATATCATGGATGGTCAGCCAATCAGCACCATTTTAGCCACCATGTATGTTGGTACACTAACATCTCCAACAAACATGGACTTCAAGCCACCCCAGACATTGTCACCATGCCAAAGAGCATGCCTTGACAACAGACTGGGTTACTTTGTACTCACCCATAACTACTTTATCTTTGACAATGCAAATGAGTGGCACAGCTTCCAAATGAATGGAGCAGCCATAGGCACATAATTACTCCATATGTCAATATCTTTGCAGCTGATCTAGAACAACACTTTCTCATGTCTTACCTCCTGAAATACTTCCTTTATTTGAGATTTACTGATGACCTTTTCATGATTTGAACCCAATGGATTTATCATCAAATTCTATCATGATTTTGACCTCCATGCCCCTATGAACCTCACCTTCCACCTATCTATAGAATAAGCCCATTACCACAAAGTTGCCACAAAGAAAAGGGAGTCAAGATATTCTCCAAAACACCTGAGGGCAGGATAAGAAGCAATGGATGAAAACTCATCAAGGAGGGAAGCAACCTAGAACTAAGGAGAAATTTCCTGACAGTAGAACAATTAATCAGTGGAACAACTTGTCTTCAGAAGTTGTGAATGCTCCAACATTGGAAGTTTTTAAGAAGAGATTGGACAACCATTTGTCTGAAAAGGTATAGGATTTCCTGCCTGAGCAGGACTAGAAGACCTCCAAGGTCCCTTCCAACTCTGTTATTCTATTCTATTCTATTCTATTCTATTCTATTCTATTCTATTCTATTCTATTCTACTCTACTCTACTCTACTCTACTCTACTCTACTCTACTCTACTCTACTCTACTCTACTCTATTGATGTCATACACAATGGACATATAACTTCCACCTTATACAGATAATCTACAAATCACCATGCATATCTTACATGCTTCCAGTTTCTACCCAGAAAACATTACCACCTATAGCCTAGACTATGTTAGAACTGCACCTGTTCTGGATTACTTGACAGTAATGCTCAGTTGATGGAATTGAACCAGGTTTCTGAAGACTGAACCGCCCACTCAGCGAGATCAATAAACTAATCAAAAGAGCCAAATTGATTCTCAGGGAGGACCTATTAAAAGACAGGCCATTAAAGCAGAAAAAGATAACACCACTAGTTGTCACCCACAGCTCATAACTCAAACTGCTCAAATGGCATTCTTAATCATTTACAGTTCATACTGGATAATGACACTTCACTTTTTCAGACACTGGATGGCAGACCCATACTTGAATACAGACAACTCGAAGTAGATTCTCCAAGTAATAACAAACAATAGGACCATGGTGCTAACAGAGAAGACACTGCTCCAAACCCAGATTTCTACTTTACCCCCAAACCTCCATCGCATTTACACCAATAGCATCACCATGGACCCCAACAAGTATACACACAAGTGACAGTCACTTTCTTGTGAGATGGGTGGCTATACAAATATAACATAACAACATAGCCCAGCCCAGCCCAGCCCAGCCCAACACAACACAACACAACATCATAAAACCTAACCTAACCTAACCTAACCTAACCTAACCTAACCTAACCTAACCTAGCCTAGCCTAGCCTAGCCTAGCCTAGCCTAGCCTAGCCTAGCCTAGCCTAACCTAACATAACATAACTTAACATAACAATCTAACGATACCTAACCTAACATAGCCTCTACAAGGTTTTCTCAAATCTAATAAATGCCACCATCTGCTGACCATGCTCCTCTGGATTCTATGAAGGACAAACATTGTGCAAAAGAATTGAAGGACATAAGTTTAACACAAGGACTCCAAAGAAGGACAAAGTAAGATCAGAACATTTCAACTACCTAGGACATTCTACTGAAGATCTCAGTGACAGTTTGAGAAAAAGAGAGACTTTAGCAACACTATTGAACAAGAGGTTGCTGAATTCACCACATCAAAAGTACTTACCCCCAGAAGGCAGTCTATGAACAGTTTCACCCTTATTGGGAGTCATCAAATGTGTGTAGCCAGCTTTCTTTTATGGGACCCAAACCCTCTAAGAGGAATTGAGCTCATGGATCCTTGCACCATTGAGATGACTACAATTTCAGGCAATCTCAAAAGATCTCAACAAACACAGTGATTTTTTTCAATATATTCTATTTGCTAAATGATAAATTGCTTGTAATCTCCCTCGCATGTAACCTGCATCGTTAAACTGCTTCCCCTTCCCATTCTCTTACCCCAATCTCATCCTAATTTAAATCCTTCCTTACTCTAGTCACTTTGTACATTTGATGGAGTTGGCTGCAATTCCAAAAAGCTTATGCCTTTCAGTAAAAGGTGCCAATTGGAAAAAGTGCTAACTCCTGGTATTTCGCATTACGTGCCTGTAACCCTTTTGCCCAGTGGTGAAATCTAAAATTTGTTACTACCGGTTCTGTGGGCGTGGCTTAGTGGGGTGTGTGGAGTAATGTAACTGGGTGGGCGTGGCCAAATTTTTTTTGTTTACTTTTAAAACCATTTTTTACATGTAAAACCATGTAAAAATGCTTTCAAAAGACTCTGACCAGGGCCGGATTTAGATGAAAAGAGGCCCTAGGCTATTCCACTTATGAAGCCCTTTCACCTATAGTGAAAGTGTAATTTTAATTTTGCTAATAATTTGAATGTAGGCCCCTCTTGATCTTGAGGCCCTAGGCTGAAGCCTAGTTAGCCTATAGGAAAATCCGGCCCTGGCTCTGACGATCCAGCTAGGATCGTCAGAGCTTGGATCATCGGAGCCATTTAAAAGAAAAAAAGTTTTTTTCTTTTAAATGGCTCTGACGATCCAAGGTGAGTTGCCTGATTGGCAGACAACTCAGCTGGGATCGTCATAGCTTGGATCATCAGAGCTTGGCTCGTCAGAGGCATTTAAAAGAAAAAAAGCCTCTGATGATCGCCCGGCTCAGCTGGGCATGGGGGGCGGGGGCAGGGATTTTTGCTACCAGTTCTCCAAACTGCCTGCTGCCATCGCTACCTACTCGCCCGAGCCAGTCCGAACCGGGAGCATTTCACCCCTGCTTTTGCCCCATATTAACATGCATGGCTGTTTGCTTCTCTGTTCCAAAATCCAGCTCCTTGCTCACCTCTCCAGGCTTCATCCAACTCGTCTTTGCTGAACCAGAGTTGGGTGCTGTGGATGGTACAAGTGTGAAACTGGACCCGAAACACAACATCTCGCTCTCCTCCCTGCAGATGCTTATGATAGCATTTCACCTGGAGAGGAAAGGATGATTGAATCAGTAGAGAGCATAGCTTTTCCAGCCATGTGGCTTTCTCGACTCCGCTCATTTAAAAGTAATAGTTATTTGCAGACAGTGATCACAAACATACATTGCGTAAAAAGCTCTAAATCATAAAAATTTTCTATATAGCAAAGCTATACAGGTAGTTCTCGACTTACAACAGTTCACTTAGGGAACGATCAAAGTTACAACGGCACTGAAAAAAGTGACTTATGACCGTTTTTCACACTTATGACCGGTGTAGCATCCCCATAGTCATGTGATTTACATTCGCGTGCTTAACAACTGGTTCATGTTTATGACGGTTGCAGTGTCCCGGGGTCATGGGATCCCCTTTTGTGACCTTCTGACAAGCAAAGTCAATGGGGAAGCCAGATTCACTTAACAACCATGTTACTAATTTAACAATGCAGTGATTCACTTAACAACTGTGGCAAGAAAAGTCGTAAAATGGGGCAAAACTCCCTTAGCAAATTTCTCGCTTAGCAACATAAATGTTGGGCTCAATTGTGGTCATAAGTTGTATATATATATAAAATCTTCTGAGGACTTGTAGCAGTAATGATCTACAAAAATTAAGTTCTTATGCCAGGCTAAATAGAAAAGGCAGTAGAGATGGGCAATTAACTCAATATTTTTGCAGAGGGATATCATTAAATCTCATTTTTAATTTAATTTAATTTAATTTAATTTAATTTATATGCCGCCTCTCTCCAAAGACTCAGGGCGGCTCACAATACATTTAAAAAATCATTATAAAAAGACATTGAAAAATTAAAAACATTAAAAACTCATTCACACCATTCATGGCCAGATCTCGCCAGATCATAAGAGCGAGATCAACGGCCCCAGGCCTGCCGGAAAACAGTGATTAAGGCAGCATGGGGGCCACGGCTAATGTGAAATCTTTTCTTTGCATGAGGCAAAGAATGTTGGCAAGCTAGGAAGCCACTGAAAAAGGTCTTTCAAGTAAAACCAAGCTATATATTTTGGGGTTATTTTTACTCCCCCCCCCCGAAGATCTTGATTTTTGATTTGTGGTTTCAACTCTGACAGGGCTTTTTCAAACTTAGCTGAAGTTCACACATTAAGTACACAAGCCACAAGGTTTTAAGTATGAAGTTAGCTCAGCTGTCTGTGAAGTTGTATTCTGTAAGATTGGGGAACAAGATAAAAAAAAAAAAAACTAGCTATATGCCTGCCTCTATATGGTCTCTCAAGCCTTGGTGGTTCCCCTTTCGGGTAGCATAACCAGGGCTCTGAAAAAATTGGATTTGAAGGCTTCCAGAATACAATATTTGCAAATTTATGCGACACAGGTGTGACCACTCATTCTCCCTGCTCTATTGCTCTTATTTGCTACCAGAACCTGCATATTGCCACTACAATAAAAAATATAAAAACTTTTATGAAGTGTTACAATTAAAATAAAGGGGTGTCAATCAATGGAGGAAGGGATCAGGATTTTTGTTATAGAGAGTAATCCTGGGAATGGTGTCAGATGTTGCTTTCAAATTAGGCAATATAACTTTTCACTTCAGGAAAAGATGGCAAGAGGTTAACGTTGGCAATTTCAGACACTTTATCACAGGGTATTAGATCCGCCCAGCATATATTGTGAGATTTCAGACCGATGTATGCATGTCTTTCCACTCTGCTCCCTGAGCTATTCTGTTTGGAAATGCTGTCAAGTCCCTCTCTTTCAAACTCAACTCTCAGTTGCACCTATCAACTCCTGGCGCTTTGTTATCTGTTACCTGACAGGTTCCAGCATGTGGCGGTTACAGCTTTAGACTTGGGCCTTTGAAGCCCACCACCTCCCGGCTCCCATGTATCAGTTGCATGATGAGTTTGGACAGATATTGGATTCAAAGAGATGTCATGATTCCCAAGTTTAATGCAGGGGTGAAATCCAGCAGGTTCTGACAGGTTCTGGAGAACCGGTAGCGGAAATTTTGAGTAGTTCGGAGAACTGGCAAATACCACCTCTGGCTGGTCCCAGAGTGGGGTGGGACTGGAGATTTCGCAATATCCTTCCCCTGGAGTGGGGAGGGAATGGGGATTTTGCAATATCCTTCCCCTGCCACGCCCACCAAGCCACGCCCACCAAGCCACGCCCACAGAACCGGTAGTAAAAAAAAATTGGATTTCACCACTTGTTTAATGCCCTTTCAAAATGCCCTGCCTGCACACGTTTGGGGATCAGTGGGCTTCTGCACATGGTGAGTTTCAATAGACGGTTAAATCTAAGGGTCCGCCCATCAGTCAAAATCATCTCTGAATCGTAGCAGAGCTCTGATTGGCTGGCACTTTCATGCCAGCTTGTGACATTCCAAAATGGGGAGGGCAGCAAAGCCAGAGGTTTAGCCCTTGGTTTGCTTAACACATTCTGCACAGATGTACCAGGAGTCTACCAATTAGTAACAAACTAAAACAGAGTCCAGGGAAGCAAATGTTGAGGATTGCCAACATAAAAGTGGGAGGTAAGCAATTTCTGAGCTTTGGGGTAAAGGAATGGGGCAACTTGCCACAGCCAACTGTGGCCAACTCACCGCAGCCAATTCGCTGCAGGACAATTTAACAATTCTATTTAATTATTTTCAATAAATAAAAAAATATTTTAATTTTTGCCATTCACATTTCATTCTGTCTCTCCTTTTGCATCCTTTTTTAAATTACTCTATTCCATCATTTCTTTGATATTAGTGTAAGTCTTGTCCTGCAGCAAGTTATCCTGCGGTGAGTTGGCCATGGCAAGTTGACTGTGGCAAGTTGACCATGGCGAGTTGACTGAGGCGAAATGACGTAGAGGACAGTATTCATGCGACAAGCTGTGCTTTTTGACTTCCAAATCAGCTTAGTGTCGCTGGCAAAATAAACAGCTACACAGAATAAATTTGAAAAATTCCAGATATGCCCAGTGAGTTGACTTAAAAAATAAGAACAACCTGGAATCTTTACCAATGAACGTGTTTTAAATTTTTGAAAGAAAGGGTACACACTGTGACTCTCTGAATCAACTTTTGAAGTAATTTGAAGTGCGCATTCTTGCCTAAGTATGCAAGAAATGCATAGCAAGTTCAAACTGAGATCCACCTAACATAGGTAGTCTTTTAAAATAGGAATTCCAGTGCCCAGCAGGCAATATCTGGCATACTGAAAATTAGCTACTGAGTGGCTTCTGTGAACTCCTGGATTAAGCACATATATTTATCAAGAATCACTATACCTTATTTATTTTTATTTTTTTTATCTAAAGTGTGTAGAGAAGAGGAAGAAAGATGATAAAGGGTCTGGTGGCTAAATCATATGACAAATGATTGAGGGAGCTAGGAATGTGTATCGAAAAGAAGGATGGGAGACATGATAACTGCCTTCCACTACTTGAGTGGTTGCTACAAACAGAGGGGGTTGATTTATTCTCTAAGACACCAGAGGGCAGGATAAGAAGTAATGGGTAGAAGCTTGTTAAAGAGAGATAGATTCAACCTAGAAGTAAGGAGAAATTTCCTGACAGTGAGAATAATTAATCTATGGAATAACTTGCCTCCCAAAGTTGTGGGTGCTCCACTACTAGAGGTTTTCAAAAACAGACTGGACAACCATTTGACCACGATTGTATAAGGTCTCAAGACAGAAGCAGGGGGTTCGACTAGGAGACCTCCGAGGTCCCTTCCAGTACTATGAATCTATGTTCTATTCATTCCCAGAATGATAAATACAAGGATAATATAAAACCCCCTTTTACATTATTTTCCTTTGCTCTCTGTGATTAAGGTATATGATGTTCCTAGTACTAGGATTACTGGGATGATGATGATGATGATAATAATAATAATAATACAATAATATTAATATAACACAGAAATTGCAGCTTCCTGCAATAACACCAGGGGAACTGCAAAAGACTCTGCTATTTGGAACAATGTACATTTTAAGAAGATACTTGGTTGATACCTAGGATGCTGGCAGCAACCAGTATCAACCATTAGCACCAGTCAATCATATCTGTGACACATTTTTAAATGTTCGGTTGACTGAGTTTCATGCTTAATGAATAAAAGAGATAATAATAATATAACTACACTGCTATACCTTGCTTTTAAAAGAAATCAATATAAAAATCACTCAATTTTTAAAACGGAACAAGAGGCTATATCTGATGCTTACTCCAAAATCCCTTCTGCCTTCAGCAAGCCCATTCACTTGGCAGAGTGTATTACAACACAGAGCATCACGCTATATGCCATTGTTACATATAAATTGGCAGGGCCATAAGTTGTGCATGGATATCATACGAGACATTGTCTGGTTTTGCACTGTTCTAGGAAAGAGAGGAAGAAGGACTGGTGGCAACATTACATCCCTTATAAAATCTAGTTCTGCTCTTAAATCCTGACCTTCTGGCAACACTCACCATGACGTCTCCCTTCAAGAGCAAGGCCGGCTCCAGAGTGATACAGATCTTCTGAGTGCCACTGGCACCATGGAGGCTACTGCATGAACAAAGGACATCATAAGGATTGCCGGGAATGAAGTTAAAAGAAGACTAGCCTACAGTATGTCCTTGTAACTTCAGAGGATCTTAGCAGGGGTGGGTTTCAACAGGTTCTGACCAGTTCTGGAGAATCGGTAGTGAAAATTTTGAGTAGTTTGGAGAACCGGTAGTAAAAATTCTGACTGGCCCCGCCCCCATCCATTCTCTGTCTCCCAAGTCCCAGCTGATCGGGAGGAAATGGGGATTTTACAGTATCCCTCCCCTGGAGTGGGGTGGGAATGGAGATTTTACAGTATCCTTCCCCTGCCACGCTCACCAAGCCATGCCACGCCCACCAAGCCACACCCACAGAACCAGTAGTAAAAAAATTTGAAACCCACCACTTCATTTTAAGTGTTTGATCTAGAGAAAACCAGCTCATACTTACTAGATCCCAGAGGTATAGACCAGTTGCATGGATTGGTAGATCTTTAGGAAAGGTTGATAACCTAGAAGAGAGAAGATGGGCCAGATGGATCAGAAAAGAAGAACCCATCTCCAGGAAATAGAAGAATGATGCAAATGGAAAATTTCGATCATAGAAATGGAGGGGCAACAAAGGATGTGCATTCGTAAGTCATATACTTGCTAGAGAAAGACAGACACGTGTCTCCATTCCAAACAGAATTATGATTATTTGCAACTGTATCTGTATATGTTTCAATGATTCTTACGAATTACAAGCCACGATGGCACAATGGTTAGAGTGCAGTATTGCAGGCTACTTTTGCTGATCACTGGCTGCCAGCAGTTCGGCAGTTCGGGCTCAAGGTTGACTTCCATCCTTCCGAGGTGGATGAAATGAGGACCCAGATTTGTTGGGGGCAAATATGCTGACACTATAAACCACTTAGAGAGGGTTGTAAAAGCACTATGAAGCGGTATATAAGTCTAAGTGCTATTGCTATTATGCTTGAGTTCTTTTCGTATAAGAAGGAGGAAGGGGAAACATGGTCAGGCTTTCAGGATTCTGTTATTATAAACTGAATCAGGAAATTTAAGTTCTAGCATCTCCTGGGGTATCTGTTTGCTACATTTAAGGGCTGAGAATCACTGAATTTAAAAGGAGGTAAAAATATGCACCGCTCACCGATCCAGCACTTGGATCAAGAGCACTAAGTTCAAAGGGAGGATTCCAGAAAGTTGCACCACAAAGCACTGCTGCTTTACAACCAGACGTACTAATATATGCTCGGAAAGTAACACATTTTATTTTGAGGTATCAACTCGACCAGCCTCACTGCAGTAAACAGCGCAGTAAAAACACTGCTGTTGGGCCAGGAAGTTAAAAAGTGATATACTTTCCTCCTATCTCAGGGCCAAGGGAAAAACACTTTGCTGAGGGTGTGGAAAGAACCTAAGTCAAGGATCAATGATAAAAGTTCTATTGTTACAAAGGGATTTTTTTTTCTGTTTCAACCCTAGCTCTCTCTTCTTTTAAGTTTATTCATGAGGCATAATGATAATTCATAAAAAATGAATAAATTCATTTTTTTCATTGAAGGGGTACTGATATTATGAAATTTCAGAATCCCTGCCCTATGGGTAAAGAAAGTAAACCATTTAAACATTTGTCACTGTGAGAGAGATGGGTGGTCCCCAAATCTGATATATAAATAAAAATAAAATATAAATGTGGCCCATGTTTTTGCAGTTTGGAATCATAAGCATTCATGGCTTTAAGTCTGAAAGGAACAGATCAAGAGGAGTATTTTTATTTTTATTTTTTTTTGCTTTAATTTATATGCCGCCCTTCTCCGGAGACTCAGGGTGACTTACAATGCATTAAGCAATTTAATGAATATTGTTTTGCAGCAGGGGTGGGCTGCTGGGGGTTCGCAGGGATTCGGGAGAACCTCTATCTAAGATTCTGTATAGTTCAGAGAATCCCCAAATCCCACTCCTGGCTGGCCCTGCGCACCCCTCCCCTCCCCTCCCAGGAGTCCCCACACGGCCCGTTTTGGATGCAGATAAGTGCAGGGCGTGCACAGAGGCTCAGGGAGGGCGAAAAACAGGCCTACCGGAAATTCGGGAAGGCCGGAAATGGGCCTGTTTCTGGCTTCCAGAGAGCCTCTGGAGCCTGGGGAGGCCGTTTTCACCCTCCTGGAGGTTTGAGGAAAGCCTCTGGAGCCTGGGGAGGGCAGAAACACCTCCCCCCCGCCGTGGTGCAGGAGGCTGACTGGGCCACACCCATCATGGCCACGCCCACCCAGCAACCCAGCAGAGAACCCCTTGGTAAAATTTTTGACGCCCACCCCTGTTTTGCAGCCCTCTGATGCTTACCTCCTCCACTTTCAAAAGTAGGAATGGCTGGGAGCAGGACGTGGTGCAGAAAAAGGGTATTGCTGTTCATCTTGATCGTGCCTGAGAGAAGCCCACTGAAATAATGGATATACCTACCACCGAGAAAAGATAGATAAAGAGATCATCGATGGGACATGTAAAAATAAATGGGTCTAAATTCCATCCATACAGGCGAATGACGAGTTGCAAGGTTTTAATCCTTTTACATGTATTGGTTTCAGCCTAATAATTAAATATACTATATTGCAACTTTACTTAATAGCATGAAACATTTCAGAATGTATTTACTATAATATCATTAGGAAAAAATATGTATGAGGCAACATCTCTCTAATACCAGAATCTAATAAGACATTAAAACATAAGTAGTCCTCAATTTACGACCACAATTGAGCCCGAAATTTCTGTTGTTAAGTCAGACATGTGTTTGTTTAATTATGGGATATTTTTAAAATTTAGCCAAACTGTTTAATCTGTTTTAATCTATTTTAAATTTTGTATCTCTGTGTTTTATCTTTTGGCTGTTCACCACCCTGAGTCCTTCGGGAGAAGGGCGGTATAAAAATTTAATAAAATAAAATAAATAAATAAATAAAGTGAATGTTGTTTTATTATTTATGTCCTTTCTTGCCTCAGTTGTTAAGTGAATCACTGCAGTTGATAAGTTAGTAAGCTGGTTGTTAAGTGAATCTGGCTTCCCCACTGACTTTGCTTGTCAGAAGGTCACAAAAGGGGATCACATGACTTTGGGACACAGCAACGGTCATAAATGTGAACCAGTTTCCAAGCATCTGAATTTTGATCACGTGACCATGGGGGATGTTGCAGAGGTCGTAACTGTGAAAAACTGTCATAAGTAACTTTTTTCAGTGCTTGTAACTTTGAATGGTCACTAAATGAACACTTGTAAGTTGAGGACTACCTGTATTAGTTATCTGGTAAGAACTGGAAGGTAAAATGAATTACACAAAGGCCAAAGGGATCTGTAGATGTTTGGGGTGGGGTGGGGGGCAAGATGGCTTAAACCGATATCAGGAATGCGGTGTTGTAATGCAAGCTGCCCCACTCCTTTTTTATGGGCATTACAGCATTGCCTACATGCTGAAAGAGCAAAGTTTGTGGCATGACACTACAATACAACTTTCATCAATCTGGTTAAAGAAGAGTTCCTGTGGGTGCTGATGACAAAAGCCATGAAAATGACGATGCTTATTTTTGCCCTTCATAAGACCATTTATTTTCAAAGCTTCAGCCAGGCTGCCTAGGAAATTTGAAAATTCACCAGATCTGAAAGGCACCTTCCTGTTTCTGAACAAGAAAATTCATTACTTGTGAGTAAACATCTTATCACTACTTGCAAAGGCTGGGTCAAAACAACATGTCCTTTTACCAGTTCCAATAAGACTCCATACTCATTTTCACTACTTGGGTGACCCTGAGGACACAGACAAACCTCCAAGTGGCCTCAATGACTCTCTAAAAGAAAGCAAATGACTAGCTGTCCGCAAGGAATATAAATCCTTCCATTCCCCACCATCCAGTCAGAGCTGAAGAAGCTTCTTGGACGAGAAGCGAAACGTCTTCAAAGAGAAACAAGGAAGTCCAGTTGTCCTCTTGAAAAAGGACCTTTGGATATAAGATAGAGGGTGCAAGGCTCACCTCTTCTGCGATGGCTGGAGAGAGGCAGCTACTTTGTCTTCACAGAACTTGCGCATGGTTAGTGTGCTGAGGGCCTGGTCTGCACTGAGGAGAGAAGACAAGGAAGGGGCATAGAGTTGCAGTTATAAATTGGCATGTAATCCAATAGGCAGGTTACAGATTCATTTGGGCCCACCAAAAATGTAGCTTAAGAAGAAAGCTGGAAAATGAGATTGAGGAAGGAAAGAAGAAAAAAAAGTAGCTGTCAGTGCTAGAGTAGCCCCTCTATCGTTCTCCCTTGCTCAATACCTTGCCGAGATTTTGCTGTAGTACATGTAAGAGGCTACGATCACACCCGTCTTGCCCTTGTTGCCCTGGCACAAAGAGAGAACATGTTAAACTGGCATTGGAATCATGCATTGACACTATAAATTCAGGGGTGCAAAAAGTTTCGGCAAAATATAACAGCCACCTTGGAGTGGGGATGGGAAAGCACAAAAACGGGAACGCAAAAGAAGATACATTATTTTTATCTACACTCACTTTATTTGTTTACTGGATTCGGTTTGTATAAATACAGTTCATTCAATCTGTTTGTTTCTATAATCTCACTATACCAGGGGTCTCCAACCTTGGCAACTTGAAGACTTGTGGACTTCAACTCCCAGAATTCCTCAGCCAGCTAAACTAAACTCTGGGAGTTGAAGTCCACAAGTCTTAAAGTTGCCAAGGTTGGAGACCCCTGCACTATTCTGTCAGTTGGAAGCCATTTTGCACCACTGCTATACAGTATATGAAGGTGATCCATCCAGTATCTGTTCAACGACCTCCTCCTTCTTTGTAAAGCTGGGGAAGACTAAGTTTTCTATGGAAGACGTTCCAGGCTGTCCAAAAATCCTCCAAGGAAAGCTTTTTAAAAGTTGCAATTGAAAGTAAAACAGGGATGGAAAAATCCATTAATTATACTTTTTAAAAAATGAGAATGAACTCAGAGAATGGTTATTCAGATTGATCACATCTTAACAGACAAAAGCTATTGGTCATAATTGGGGGGCGGGGAAGTCAATTTTGTATATTACTCTCTTCTTCTCTATCCAGTTTGGGAATGTAAAACCTTTCTTCACTTACCAGTAGCTTTACAAATGGAAACTAGTTCAATGTCTTTGAGGAAATCGCTAGAAAGAGGTGGGAAATGCTGATTAAGATTCCAGCTCTGATAAAATAGAGGAAAGTTTGCATGATGCCACTTCATTACACTAAGGATTTTGGCAGGCATGTAAGCTTTCAATGTTTGACTAATGAATTGAACAACCTGATGTCCTGCTTACCGTATTTTTCAGAGTAAAAGACGTACCTTTTTTCCCCCTAAAAGGGGGTGAAAATTTAGGTGTGTCTTATACACCGAATGTAGCCCCGCCCACCCACTGGCCCCCACTCTTTGGCCTCTGCCTCCCCGGAATTTACCTCCTTGCAGCAATCAGCAAGAAGAAACAGCCCATTTCACCTTCAGCCCAGCCTAATTAGCACAAGTTGTCTGTTGGATTGGCCTCCCGACTCTCAGCTGTTTTGCGCAGGCCTCTGCTGCTTGCTGCAAGGAAGTAAACTGCTGGGAGCAGATTTTTTTTGTTCTTGTGCTAATCAAGCTATGCTGAAAACGAAAATGAAAGTAAAGCAGGCTATTTGCTGTTTGCTGTAACGAGGCAAAATTGCTGGGAGGCAGAGGCAGATTTCTTTTTCTTGTTTTCCTCACCAAAAAAGGTAGGTGCGTCTTATATTCCGGAGCGTCTTATCTCCGAAAAATACGGTACCTTTCTATAAGCAGAATAAAACGAAGGTATATATGCAATCGAGGTATTTCATCAATCTAAGTCTTTCTCAGAGGACCTTCTAAGTTGCTGACTTTGAGGACATACCAAAACCACTCAGCTAATGATTCTGGAAAGCCAGGATCTCATCCCTTTTCCCTAACAGCAGGCAGTATCCACTGCCTTATAATAATCAGGAATTTGGGAAGATTTTTCTCTGACCTTGCAGTGAAGGACAGCCACATGCTGAGGATCTGAATTTAGCCAGGTCTCCATGGCTTTGCAGATGGAACAAATTTTGTCCAGAGGTGGAGCATGCAGATCTGGCCAGCCAAAATCTTGCACCTGGACCATCAAGGAGAAAGAAGTATTGGAGTTAAGAACATGTTGAAGTATATAGGGAGGAGACAAGCTTTTGGAACTGGTGAGTACAATTTCTTGCCTATAGGATGGAACTCCTAGAAGAAGCCTTTCCTCACTGAGGAAAGGGTCGCCATCCCATCTTAAGTTAGCAGGAAAACATAGTGGCATGAAATCAGTTGTTCTCATTGATGACTTTTATCCCACCTTTATTGCCTATGTTGCTGTCACTGTAGTCCAGGGGTGTCAAACTTGTGACGACACGTTGTCACATGATGTATTGCAACTTTTTTTCCCCTTTGCTAAAACGGGGGTGGGCATGGCCAGCGCATGACACATCTGGCCCTCAGGCCGCGAGTTTGACACCCCTGCTGTAGTCACTGATAATGTGACTCTAATTATAACTGGAAAAGAATGGGTTAGAAAACTTTACAAGTTTTATGCATCTTTATGTACCTTGAAAATGTCCCTGGATAGAGTTGGCGGAAGGAGAAAACTACATTTTTACCAACTTTAGAGCTATAAAATGCAATGAGCAATATTGGCACTCTTCGTATAAAGAATAACAAGAAGAAAATATTAATAATATGAGCTCTTTGGCTACTCAATTGCTAGTTTTTAAAGGTTTAACACATTTTAATGACTCTCCCAAGTCTTGAAGCCAAGTAACTTGGCTTGCTTTCAACTAAGGAGCTATATATCTGGTTTTAGGTTCAGTCTTTGACTCAATTATTATGATTTCTGTACTGCATTTCTCTCTCTTTGAATTGCATACTTTATATCAGTTTATAATTATAAAGTAGAACACACAAGAATAAAATAATGCACAAAACAAGTATAAAATAAATGAAACTGGGATAATATATAAACATTTTTAAAAATCAGAAAATAACTGTATTGTGTCTAAATACCAACATAGATGGTCTTGAGCACAACAGGCACTCCTTAGCTTGAACTGCTTTCAATGAAATTACAGACATGGAAAATTTAAAATTCTCTTTAAAAATGTTGCCTGATACAATTTAGTACTATATGTAAATATTTACTGTGCATTATATCTTTCTTTCCAGGATTAATGCCTGTTTCTCTCCTTTCCTTTCAATCAGCTGAGAATGGAAATGAACAAGTCAAGCTAAACTAACAATTTAATTACTTTACTTTAATCACAGAAAGTAGAACCATTGTATGAATTTCTACAATGTGCCAGCTTCTAATAACCTTCTAAACAGTTTCAGTTTGGATGTAGTCTCAATTTAATATACAATAGTGGCCAAAATTTTGGAAACCTTTTGGGAAAAGTGTATTTTCTAAAACTAGCTAATACCACTTCTTTTTTTTTTTGAGTAGTACCATAAAATTAAATATCAATGAAAAGATAATTTAATCAAGAATGTAATGCAATAACTTTTATGAAGGATTTGCTATTAGAATAGCAGTTACAGTATAAAGAAGAAAAGTGAAACATGTAGAAAAAACAAGATATACAAAAATTATCACCATGTCAGTCAATACTTAGTTGGGTAACTTTTAGCATGAATTAGGCCTTACAATGTCTTCCCATGGAATGAACCAAGTCTTTTAGTTTTGCAGCTGTTCTAATGTGAAACCAAGATTGAATGATTGCTTCTATTAACTGGGTTTTATTGCTGGGTCGCTTCTGACTAACAAGTTTCTTTAGTCGCCTCCATAGATTTTCAATTGGGTTAATATCTGGGCTATTCCCAGGCCATTCCAGCAGTGGAATATGATTATCTTGGAACTCCCCAAAAAAGTGATGTTATTAGCCATCAAACCTCAAAAGTACACTTTTCCCAAAAGGTTTCCACAATTTTGGCCACTACTGTAAGCATCTTGGCCCCAAGCTCTCATCTCTCACCTTGGGGTTCAACCGGATGATGTCATGCCGTTTCTCTGATAAGTTGAGGAGCTGTTGACATAAAGAAGAATCTTTAGCAGTTTACTCTACCAACTCAACTTTCAACTAATAACCTACAGCATCTTGATCAGGACATTTTTAAGCAGTTATTCATGTGACTTCACCCCAAATGTTACTCTCTCTTCTCAAATAAGCTTGTTAAGTTGCTTGGCCAAACAAAATAAAAAAAGTTTTTTAGTTTCCTATTCCTCTTGAAAGTCAGAATATAGCTGTTCCCCAACCCTGCCCACCCAGCCTATAGGCTGTTCCTATAAGTGAACTTTAGACAGTAGAGTTTTTCCAAATGGAGATAACACCAATGCTTTACTTGCTATGAAATCACGAGACCCTGCAGGACAAAGTGATCGTCATTCCTCTCTATCTTGGAGGTGAAGCATGCGTTTTTCACACACTCACTCAAACCTACATAGAAATGTCAAGTTGGCTCCTTCTTTAGAGTAACTCTTCTCTCCACTCAACTGATTTTTCTGCTTATCATCATCACCACCATCATCATCTCCTTGACCTCCTTACCAGATACTTGTCCTCATGCTTGGATTTGAGCATTTGCGCCACCTCTCGGAGATTGCTACGGTAACGTTGTTCCTCCAAAGCAGGAGGAAAAGACACCGAGATGATACGTTCAGTGATGTAGATGAGGTCAAAATCATACTTGCGCTCCATTACGTGGTCCAGACTGAAGCTTCTGAAAGTAAGAAAAGCAGATAGTGGTAAGGGAAACAGGACTCCAGAGGTCTACAGAACCACAATGAGCACTGAAGATTACAAAATTAATTAGCAGGCAAAAAGAACTAAAACCTATATACTTTGCCATTTGGCAAACCTAATTTTCAGTGGGATCTCCCAATAACACAGCTGAAAGCGAAATATCGCAATTGTGCAGGTACCAATAGAAGAGAATATTTGTAGCTCAGGGTTGAACTGTGGGGTCCTCGGTGCTCGCTGAGCTTGGTTGTTTACTTGCAGATGGTTCATTGACATCATCAGTACTAGAAGCGAGTGGGGTTTGCTCTCTACTTACATACAAGTGATTCGCCCTATTGGTGTTGGTAGGAGTGTTCTTGCTGGTTCCTTGATTAGGCTGTTCTTTTTTTTACTGTTTGAATGTTTGTCTAAGATGATAGTTCCTTGATTGGAGTATTGTTTACTCTTTGCTTGTTGTTAATCTTGGTGATATTTTCAGCTTATCTGATATTGATTGCTAGGGAGGTGGTGTTTTGGATTTTTTGTTCCCTTTTTAGTTTTTAATTGTCTCATTTGAATGGTAGGTAAATATTGTTCAGAGCCATGGTGGCGCAGTGGTTAGAATGCAGTACTGCAGGCTACTTCTATTGACTGCTGGCTGCCTGCAATTTGGCAGTTTGAATCTCACCAGGCTCAAGATTGACTCAGCCTTCCATCCTTCCGAGGTGGGTCAAATGAGGACCCAGATTGTTAGGGGCAATAGGCTCACTGTAAACTGCTTAGAGAGGGCTGTAAAGCACTGCGAAGCAGTATATATGTCTAAGTGCCGTTGCTATTGCTATGTGCCTGTTGGTGGCTGATTTGTCTGAGTACGATGCTTCCTCTTGTCCAGGTATCTTAAAGCAATGTTCAACAAAACCAGTGGTTCATCTTATAGCCAGTTCTAGGAGCTTTTAAGTGCTTTTCTTCATATGCTTTTCTTAAATTTATATCCTGCTATTACATATAATGATAGAATTAGAAAGTGTTTTGGAAGTCTTCGCATGTAATCTTCTGCTCTCTGTAGAAACCACAGCATCTATGACAAATAGTCCTGACCAGCTTCTGCTTAAAAACCTCCAATGAGGAAAAAAGCACTGCAACCAATTCTTCAATTGATAATTTGCATTGATGCAAAACACAATAGGTTAAAAAAAAAGATAGTCATATAAATACATCAGAAACACACAAACATATACACACACTTGCCTATTTAGATAAGTATATATAGAATTGTAACTGTTTATTGTATTACATTTTTTTTCTTCTGTATTTCTTCACTCATTTTAAAGCACTTGTTATGTAATTTTTAATCATGTATATAGTTTGTGGTTTTGTTCTTTTTGTGCCTTTCTTTTTTTCTAGTCATTATTTTAAAAGCAATAAAAATGATTAAAAACTGATTGCATCTACCAGTGAGTTTCTCCTAACATTTAATTGATTGCTTCTTTGCAAGGCTCATTCATGTAGGTAAGGTTTCCTGCAACAACAGAGAACAAATCAGCTGAATTTCTGAAGATTCCAGTCTCCAGTGAAGCAGCTGAGACACAGGGAAACCTTCTCATTTGTGAAGATTAGGCCTTAACCTTGACCCTGAATATTTTGGCCAGTAAAAAGGCAGATGGAAAAAAATGCTGTTCTTAGATCACTAGATTTGTTTAAGGAGATAAACAAATTCTGCTATCACAGAACAATGGATGAGGAATGCATGATTTTCTTTTCAAAAGAAAAGAGGCAATTCTGATGAACTTTGTTAAAAATTTCTCTCCTCTATTGATTTGCTAATTGCATCAAAAGGAAGCAAGAGTACAAGCATGATAAATGATTGAAGAAAAAAAAATAGTGTCTTAATATATGATAATTGTAGTGAGTTGTATGCACAGAGGCAGAAAGACTTATAAATTCCCACAATGGAAGAATGGATGATGAAGTTAATGGAACTTGCTGAGATGGTGAAATTAACTATTTTGATTACAGAAAAGACTTCGTCCAGTTTTGTTTTTATGTGGACACCACTTTTGGATTTTTTTGCTAGAAACTGCAAGAGATGCTACATTAATTTTGGGACTTGACAATTAGCAATGTTTATGATTGTGGAAATACTATGTATTGTTGAATTTTAGATCAAAAGGTTATTTATATTTACAATTGTATCGAAGAAAGTTGGAAGTTACTTACCCTTTTTCGAATTCTTCTCATTTTTTTTCTATTCTTTTGCACCTTCCTGTCCTCTATTTTAACTTTTTAATTCCTTCTTTGTTTTTATAGTTTATTTTTTGTAGAAATTTAATAAAGTGCATTTTTTTAAAAAGGAAGCTACTGTGCTTATCTTTTTAGAATGAAGCATATGGTACAGAAATGCCTTCATTTTTCTCTATTATTATTATTCTCTTTTATTCATTAAAAATGAAACTCAGTCAACTGGACATTTAAAAATGCATCACAAATACCATTGACTGGTGCTAATGGTTGATACGGGTTGCTGCCAGCGTCCTAGGTATCAACCAAGTACCTTCTTAAAATATATGATGTTCCAAGTAGCACAGTTTTTTGCAGTTCCGCTGGTGTTATTGCAGGAAGCTGCAATTTCTTGAAGTGTTTTGTGAAATTCTTGGACATGGTATCAAGTGCCCTGATGACAATGGTTATCACTGTGACATGTTTCATCCATAGCCATGTAGTTTCGATGGCCAGGTCATGATATTTCATTATTTTTTCCAGTTCTTTTTCTTCGACTCTGGCGTCTCCTGGTACCGCGATGTCAATAAATTGTACGTTTTAGTTTTCGACAACTCTGATATCTGGCATGTTGTGTTCCAAGTGACTGTATTCGAAAGTCCCACAAGATCTTCACTTTCTCATTTTCTATCACTTTTTCCACTTTATGTTCCCATGATTTTTTGGATACAGGTAAGTTGTATTTTTTACATAATGACCAGTGGATTAATTTAGCAACTCGGTCATGTCTAGCTTTATAATCAGTTTGTGCAATTTTGCTGCATTCACATATTAAACATGAAACAGTTTTGGCTTTGTTGTTGCAAAGTCGGCAGCTTGGATTGTCGGTGGATTGTTGTATATTTGCTTTCATGGCATTAGTTTGTAGTGTTGTTGTTGTTGTTATTGTTGTTGTTGTTGTTGTTATTATTATTATTATTATTATTATCTTAGACAACTTAATGGCATTTTCCATGATACTGTACCCTCAGGTGATTGGCGTCATTCACAACTGATTCAATAAATATTGGCACTTTCTTTCTTGTCTTTTTCCTCCCTCCCAATAGCCAAACCGAAAATTCAATGCAGTGCTAATCCATTTTCTTCCTAGTTTCAAAATGACTGGAGTTACTCATGTGATTAACTGAGCATAATGTTAGTATAAGAAACCAAGAGAAGATGACCTCTGGCTACAAAAATAGCTCACCATTAAAAACAATAGACTAAAAGCTGGTCCACCCCTCACCATCCCTGCATTTCGAAGCCAATTATTTCAATGCCAATATAATTATATATACACACACACACATGCATATATGCATATGCATATGCATATGCATATACATATAAATATACATAGACATACACATACACATACATACACACAAACATAATGTCAGGATCAGGCTGTACCTGGGCAGTGTGTTCCGCTGCTTTGCAGTGTTGAGGGACTTAGTGGAGCCCTGAAAAATAAGAAAGAAGGAAAGAAGTCAGCATCTAACTAATATGTGTAGAAAAATATTGTATTAGCAGGAAAGACAGGAGCACAATGAATTAAAATATTACTCTGTAAAGAAAGAGCATAAAAATTAAATAGTAAAATATTCATAAAACACCAGTTTTTGGACCCATGCTGAATATTTTACATTTCCAACTCGTGGTGGCCTTTATTGTTAATTCTGAGAGACCAAAGACTTGTCACTTCATCAATCTTTCACTTAATCTGAGGGTATCTGAGGCAGTGCCTAAGTAATGCATCACTGTACTTTTATCCCTGCAAGTGGATTGGAAGTGGATTGCGCTTGCCTGCTTCCTTGGGCTGAGAGAGACTGACTGGCCTAAGGTAACCCAGCTGGCTTTGTGCTAAAATGGGACTAGAACTCGTGGTTTCCTGCTTTCTAGCCTGGTGCCTTTAACTCTAACACCAAACTGGCTCTGATATCTGTACTAGAACAATAGTCCACCCAGGGGTGAAATCCAGTAGGTTCTAGAGAACCGGTACCAGAAATTTTGAGTAGTTCGGAGAACCGGTAGTGGAAATTTTGAGTAGTTCGGTGAACCGGCAGATACCACCTCTGGCTGGTCCCAGAGTGGCTGGGAATGGAGATTTTGCAATATCCTTCCCCTGGAGTGGGCTGAGAATGGAGATTTTGCAGTATCCTTCCCCTGCCACACCCACCAAGCCACACCATGCCCACCAATCCATGCCCACAGAACCGGTAGAAAAAAAAATTTGAATTTCACCTCTGAGTCCACCCCAAGATAAGTGCAAAGTCAATTCTTCTACCAGAAAGGCAAGGAGATAAAACTGAACACCCTAATTTGACCCAAGGATACCTTTTAATAATGTGTCTTGAAGTTCACATGATTTTAATGACTCAGTCGCAAAATAAACGAGGACTTTAAGTACAAACGCGTTAACCACAAAAACAAAGAAGTAAAATCTTCCCACGCTCCTAGGGATTACTGTCAACATAATGGCTGAAACACCACCAGACTATGGGACTGGCAGATTCAGAAGAATAGCATCAAACAGAGCCTTACCAAATGTTCAATGCGCCGGACCGGGGCTGTATTCCGTCTCTAAACATATGGAAGAAGATGACATGTGTTTAAGTTCAAATTAAAAAAAAAATCAAAGAGCATTAACAACAAGATGCTTTACGTACAGTTTCAAAGAAGTTCTCCGTAGGAATGTTGCTGCTCATTGAACTGTGAGAGCTACTAACCACAGAGCTGAAGAAAAATCATGCAGTGGCAACTTATTTTGCCAACAAAATCATGCAGTGGCAAGTAGTTTTCCTGCTAGGATACGCCATCCAAACAATCTACCATGAACATAGTGTAAAGTGCTCCCTCCATCCCCAAATCCACCCAGGACAAAAGTCACTGCTACACAGAATTCAGAGAGTAACCCATATACCTGTGATGGCGAACCTATGGCATGCGTGCCACAGGTGGCACGCAGAGCCATATCTGTGGGCATGCAGGTGTTGCCCTAGCTCAGCTCCAGTGCGCATGCGCGCGTTGGCCAGCTGATTCTCGGGCCTTCTGGGCCCACTGGAAGTTGGGAAATGGGCTGTTTCCGGCCTCCGGAAGGCCTCCGTGGGGGTGGGGAAGGCCGTTTTCACCCTCCCCAGGCTCCTAGAAAGGCTCTGTAGCCTGGGGAGGGCAAAAAACGGCCTACTGGGCCCACCATGCCATCGTGTGACAAAAGCAGGGGGAGCACGGGGGGGGCGCGCACATGCACGGGGAGCGCATTGAATTATGAGTGTGGGCACATGCACGCACGACCCCCCTCCCACGCTCCCCCCCTTTTGGCACGCGACGGCGAAAAGGTTAGCCATCACTGCCATATACTGTATCTGAGCAAAATCTGCCAAGGTTTTCCTTTGATGTCTCACCTCCTTTTAACACAGAAGTAGAAACTATTTTGCTCTGGGGGCTGCAATTCTTCCCCTTCCCCCATTGGACTGACATTCCCAATTCTATTACCAGTAGTCCTTGACTTATAACAGTTCATTAAGTGACTGTTCCAATTTACAACGGCACTGAAACAAGTCACTTATGACCATTATTCACACTTAACAACCACTGCAGCATCACCATTGTCACACAATCAAAATTTGGATGCTCATATTGATGACAGTTGCAGTATCCCAGAGTCAAGTGGTCAGCTCTGGCAACCGTCTAACCTTCTAACAAGCAAAGTCAGAGGAGAAGCCAGATTTTCTTAACAACTACGTTACTAACTTAACTGCAGTGATTCACTGAACAACTGTGGCAAGAAAGGTCGTAAAATGGGGCAAAATGTAACAAATGTCTCACTTAGCAGTAGAAGGTTTGGGCAAAATTGTGATCATAAATTGAGGACTAGTACCAATACCAATACCATTATATATTTATCATCATGCATGCTTTTTTAAAGGATTTTTCTAAATCCCAAGTATTGAACAATAGTGAGAACTTCTTTGCTGTCCTAATTCTTCTTCCCTCTAAATTGCAGAAATTGGAGAAAAAAAAAACTTTGTTGATAACTATCTGAGGAAACAGATTCTGATCCACAAAAGCTTATGTGATAGCACACATTTAAACCATATCACGATATTTCTGTGCTCAGCTGTCCACTAATGTAGAAGGAGAAGAGGATTTGCAGTGAAATTCAAGCCCCTTCCTGCTCACACAAGAGCAAAAACCAAGAAGGCAGAGCTGAGAGCAACAGCTCCAGATTAAACGGGCTGCATGGAAATCTTGGCCTTCCTTGGTCCCCCTTCAAAGAGTTTTGCAGTCTCCCTTGAATCTCTCAGTCTTCCCTTCAACAACAGTGCGCATGGCTTCACTTCTGCTGAACTCTCACCCCCCCCACCTCCCACCTTTGTGAAGATGGGGCGGCTTATTCAGTGGCTGAAAACACACTCCAATGGTTTGCACAGGTGGAACAGGCACACGGTGACCGAGGGTGAAATCTGAACTGGTTTACTACTGGTTCGCTGGCTGCAGGTGCGCAAATGGGCAGTGAACACCAAATGCAAGCTGCACGCACGCACAGTGCACGCCAAAAGGAAGCTTGGGAAGGTAAGTAGAACAGCGCAGGGGGGTGATGAGCTGTGGCACCTATGGGAACCTTTTTTTTACTTTTTTAAAGCATTTTTTACTACCTATTCGCCAGAACCGGTAATAAAAAAATGCCTAAAAAGTTTAAAAAAAAAAAAAACTTCCGACAATCAGCTAAGTGACACGCAATTGTCGGAACTTTTCTTTATTACTTTTTTAGCATTTTTTTTTTACTACCAGTTCTCTAGAAAAATGCTTTAAAAATTTTTTTAAAAAAGTTCTGACGATTGCGCATCGCTCAGCTGATCGTCGGAACTTTTTTTTTTTTTACGTTTTTTACTACCAGTTTGGCAAATCTGTAGCATTTTTTACTACTGGTTCGGGCAAACCGGCCCGAACCGGTAGCATTTCACCCCTGACAGTGACCCAAATGTAGATTTATTTTTAATCCACACAACGCAAGCAAGAGATCTGGCACACATGTTGTTTCAAATCTGGAAACAGCACATGGTCACACAAAAGCTTAATTGCAAGAATGGAGTGAAATGAACTAAAGGCAAAGAATCAGCTGATTCAAAACTGTTGCCCTGCTCCCTTTTGGTATTAGATAAAGTTTACCGTTTTGTTGTCTGCCGGCAAGGTAGGAGGAACCTAAACTAATTGGGGGGAGGACAAAATGGATCTTCAAATTCCTTTCACTCCTCCTTGCTCTTGTGGAGAAAAATAATTAAAGTGTAAATCCATTTCCCCCCCACCCATTCTCAGTATCCAGTTGCTGTAATTCTTGTGAAACCTGGTTCTGAGAAAAGGAGGAAATACAGGTAGTCCTCGACTTACAACTGTTCATTTAATGACCGTTCAAAGTCACAATGGCACTGAAAAATGTGACTTTTGGCCGTTTTTCACAGTTACAACCTTTGCAGCAACCTCATGATCACGCGATCAAAATTCAGATGCCTGGCAAATGGTTCATATTTATGACGGTTGCTGTGTCCCCAAAGGTCACATGACCTCCTTTTGTGACCTTCTGATGAGCAAAGTCAATGGGGAAGCCAGATTCACTTAACAATAGGGTTACTAACTTATCAGTCACAATTATTCACTTAGCAACTGTGGCAAGAACAGTCATAAAATGGGGCAAAACTCACTTAACAAATGCCTCACTTAACCACAGAAAAGTTTGGGCTCATTTGTGGTCGTAAGCCGAGGACTACCTGTACACACCTGCAATCACCTCTTTTCTTTTGCTTTCCAACTGCCTCTCAACTAAACTGGTCAGGGCAACATATTGTGGATTGATTCTCTTAAACCAGAGACATGGGAGATGGAGGGGTGGAAGGGAGAAGGTAGATTGAACTATCTTTACTCCGAAGAAGCCAAAATAGGAAATATTTGGTTAGTTCAGCCTATAAGGTAGCCATTATGCCTAGGATGATTATCTAAATCAAGCAGGTCCAACCTGCAGCCTTGGACAAGTTGGCCCAGGCCAAGCCAAAAGGTTGGACAAATCTGATCTAAATGGAAACTATCAACTCAGACATGTCATCTTGGATATAGAAATGCATACATTACTTCACCATTTGGATAGCAAAAGAGAGGGGGGAAAAGCAAGCATTCACTGAACAGAGAAAAGTAGCTATTTATAAAGTGCACTGAATCAACACATGTCCAGGTTATAGCAGAAAAAGAGAATTCCCTCACAGATACACTTTGAATGTGAACACAGGCTGCCTTGTTCTGTGAGCAGCCCCTTGCCCTAAAATAATCTTGCGTCAGAGAGTAGACAGAATCTTTCTGTAAGGTAGGTAAAAGCTGGGAACACACTGCTGCACATGGAAACTTTGGGGGAAGCGGTTTGTGAAACAACAGAAACAGCTCCAACTCATTCCTGACTATAAAGTTTTTCCAGCTCTTTAAAAATGAGTAACTGAGTGATAAGAATCAAGCACTGGAAGTATTTTAAAGAATACCTAAATAAATCAGCAACACAAATTTTGAATTGGGGGGTGGGGGTTTGAGAAAAATCCTGAGCCAGCATACCGTATCCTAAAATATTGCAGAAGAATCAAAGAGCAGGGTACGGGAAAATCAAACAATTCCTTCACGGAATTGCAGGAAACTTCGCAGAAATGGGCAATTATGCAAGATCATAATTCAGAAGAGGAAAAACCTCAGGCTAAATCCTCTTTTTTTAAAGAGGCAGCGATACAAAGCCACTCTTGGCGACATGGTTAATTTCCTTACATGCACACGTCCACAGTTTACCTGTCAGAAAACAATAAAGCACCTTGGCTCACCTTAAGCAACCAGCGTTTTTATTATTGCCCAAAGTCTTCAAAACACTACAAGGGCCCTTTGTCAACTTCACCGCAAGAAGCCTACCCCTCCTTTCCCCTCTGGAAAGTATTATGTGGGTCAAGTGGGTGGTAAAAGAGCAGGCACTTACCAGTTCGCTTGGAGGGACGGGCTGGCAGGAAGATGGCACCTGGAAAAGAGAAAAGGAAAGAGATGAGCCCCAGTGCACATGCCGGTTCAGCTTTGAAGTCGCCAACATCGTTCACATCCACCCCCCAACGCTGAGACCTTTGCAATGACATCTGAAGCCCTTCTGCTTTTCCCCAGAGTAGAATGTGGGGCAGATGGGTAGGAGAGAAGTCTCTTGTCCCGTCCCCTGCTCCCCTTTTCAAGAAGCAGAAGCTTTTCCCACCCGGGTGTTTCCTTTGGCTGGGGCTGGGCTCTTCTAACAACAGCACATATTACAGGCAGCAATTCATCAGGCTGCAAGGCAGCGCGGCCATATCTGGCACAGGGGATACCATAGAGAAAAACAAACACAGAAGAGCACCCCACCCAAGAGGGAAGCAACAGTGAGGCTATTCAGGCTGGTGCGTTTCCCTCTCGCCTGGTGGAACTGCCAGGGCATTCCTTGTGACCCGTAAGAGTGCAAAGGGCTATTATGCCCACCCCCCCACACACACACCCTTTCCCTCCTGTGGCTGAAGGAGGGTAAAGGGCAGAGACCCAGGCTGATCCTGTGATGCAGGTGAGAACTCAACCCCAGTTGGGGTCTCCCCCAACCGTAGGGTGTCCCTAACTTAAAATGTATTAACTCCAGATGCTTCCAGAAAAAGGTTGCATAAAGGCAGCACCTGGCCTTCTTGTGCAGAATTTTACAGAAGATGATTTCAGATGGTTTTGCACCCATCTTCCACTTTGAACCTTCTTATTTCGCCAGCAGTATTTCTTGTTATTTTTTGTCTTTCTGCAGCAAAACTTATCTCAGGGGGGATAAGATGGAATAACTGCACAATATGCAGTTGGTTTTGGGAAGCTACTTGTAATGCTCCGAAGCTTAATCTTTTGGGAAGCCCTCTTGAGATCCTTCCCTCACTTTTTCCTCTGCTGGATGATGATGTTGCCTTCACTGGATCCCCATAAGGTAGCCTTAAGTTGACCATAAGTTTGCTGCTGTTAATGCAGTTTTCACAAGGGTACAGTTGACAAACTATTTTGTGAGTGGTGCAGTCAGATCATCCAGAAGGAGTGGGAGGAGCCAAGCAGCTATTGGCTAGTGAGGCTTCTAAAGCCATTCCGTTTTGGACAGAGGAGAATCCAGTTGTGTCACTTCTCCCCTCCGGATCTTTAAAACTCTATGAGCTAGAGATCAACCTGGCCGGCAGCTGACCAATAAAGAACAGCAAGGTCAAAGGCTGAAGTCTGAAGGCAATTTCCCCATGCCTGGCAAATATTGGTTGGCTTCTTTGAATATTAGGTTTAGCAGACATTGGAAGAGTGCTAAGCCCATGTTCAAAATTCATCTCTCAGCTGATACTTGGACTCCTTTTGAATAATATACTACCCAAAACACTTGCACAGAACTAAGCATGAGTTTTGACCAGTGGCTGATGTTCTAATGAAGCCATCTGGAAAAAAAACCTCAATTCCTCCCAAACTTCAGCTCACGTGAAGAAGAGTGACAGAGGACGCTTTCCCACCAGCTGGTGATATTTGAGGAAGCAGGAGGAAAACGAAGTCAGAGAAATCCACCCCACCCCACCCCCATTTCCTTAATGTGCCCTTTACACAGTGAATAATGACAGCAGCCTTTATTGTCATTGAACTTACAGCAGGAGAGGGATCATCAAGGGAGGCAGCAAATCGTATGTTAGTATAGCATTTTGTCGGTTCAATGATTGATGGATAACTTGTTAACTTGGCTGCGACAAACATCCCTTTTGTACTCCAGCTGCTGAGGTTTCCTGCCTATATAAAGGTAAAGGTAAAGGTTCCCCTCGCACATATGTGCTAGTTGTTCCCTACTCTAGGAGGCGGTGCTCATCTCTGTTTCAAAGCCAAAGAGCCAGCGCTGTGCGAAGATGTCTCCATGGTCATGTGGCCGGCATGACTAAACACCAAAGGTGCAAGGAACGCTTTTACCTTCCCATCAAAGGTGGTCCCTATTTTTCTACTTGCGTTTTTTACGTGCTTTCAAACTGCTAGGTTGGCAGAAGCTGGGACAAGTAACGGGAGCTCACCCCGTTACATGGTGCTAGGAATTCGAACCGCTGAACTGCCGACCTTTCTATCGACAAGCTCAGCACCTTAGCCACTGAGCCACCGCATCCATGCATACCTACATACCCACACACATACATATATACCATGTCCATACATACATATTGCCTACATATGAAGAGGCTAATACAAATAAGCATATATAGATATGTTTCAACACATGTCTAAATAGAATACAATTAATTCATGGCTCTTGCTGAAACCATACAGCGTACTGAAACATATGATGGCAGGTAAGATAGTACCCTCCATGTATCTGTAGCCATAAGCTCTCATAATCCCTCCAGAGCCAAGCAGTTGATGAGATTTATAGAGCCAATTTGGTCTAGTGCAGGGATCAGCAACCTTAAACACTTAAAGAGCCACAAAGGTCCTAATCGGACCCGTTCAATTCTGGAGCCGACCGGAAGTCCGGTTGCCCCATCGTAGTCTCCTCCTAGCGCAGCATCCTTTTTCCTCTGCTGACCGGAAGTCCAATTCCCCCACCATAGAGTCTCCTCCTAGCATGGCATCCTTTTTCCTCTACCTGTCCTAACCGAAAGCCCTATCAATTGTGGAGCCGACCAGCAACAGGGAGCCACATCAGAGGGATGAAAGAGCCACATGTGGCTCCAGAGCCGCGGGTTGCTGACCCCTGGTCTAGTGGTTTAACTTAAAGCATCAGTCTAAAAACCAGAAGACTATACAGAGTTGTTGTTGTTGTGGGGAAATGTTTGCCACTTTGAGCTATTTATAAAAATAATAAATAAACAATAGATCAATTCCCTTGAGAATTGCTTCCTCCTGGGTATCGATTTAATAAATTTGGGGTGGCTCTGTTACTTGAGTCGGAGCAGTGGTGAGCCCCACTTAGTTTTCCCTGCAAAGGTTCCTGTCATTTAAAGAACGGACACCTGACATTACATTGGTTTTACTTCCACTTATTTTCCATTTTTAGGAGATAAAACTGATGGATGCTCACCAGCCCAGGGCTTTATTTGGTGATATTGCAGATAATGCAGATAATGAACAAAGCTCAGTTGGAAAGGTGGGGAATGGGGACTACCCCCCCAGTTTCTTTTCTGCCGATCATGGCAACGATTCTGTGAAAGTGCGGACAACTTGCTCCCCAAATTCCACAAGTCCACACTAGCCTATAAAGATTGTTTGACCTTGGGCCAACGAAGAGCTACTGAAGAGGACAGTTTGGAGAAGAAAAGCAACAGTATTCATGCCCACCACTCTTTTGCCCTGTTTCCAGCACAAAAGCTCTTCCCAATAGTTGCTTCCTATTCTTCACAAAGTCCCAAATATTTTAGCAAGGAAAATTAACCAAATTCCAGTTAATATGAAATGGTGTGTCACACTTTAAAAAAAAATCTAAATGGTCACTGTATTAGGTATATGAATTTACCAAGTAATTCATTTGCTTTCTAATAAGAACAGCAAACATGGCTAGATATTTCTTTCCATAAATAAGATTCCTTTTTTTTTTCAAAACAGAAAACTGAGGTTTTATTTAAAGTCTGAAGGATAGATTAAATAGAAAAAACATGTGTCTGGACTGTTTAATCTGCCACAATTACAGACCAATCGGCTCTTCCAACATATTTTTTCAGATCCAATTCCAAAAATATTATTTCCTTATATTACTATCACTAGAATTCTGTAAATGTATGCTAGCTGTAGAATTCACCACATCATTTGAATTTTAAAAAAGATTCCCTTTTGTGGGTTGCAAAACATCTTATCCAATGAATGAAAGATCAACCATATTCAGAATGGAAAGGATTGTGGAAATATTCCAGTTGTATACATTAGGAAAGAATCTATATGGAGTATTATAGCTCATCTGATCATAACTTCATACTATGCAAATCCCTTAACTTCCTAATGGTATTTTCAGTCCATCCCTATCCTGTTCTTTTCATCATAGATTTTTTGGGCTATCGTATACTGAGGGGGTCATTTTCTTTCAAAGTTTGGTGCTACAGTGAAACCTCAGTTTATTGGATCTTGAAACAGTGGATTTCTAATCTAGATTTCTCATCACAATTGCCCAAATTTTTCATCCTAATGGCACCATGCACTTGACACTATCACATTTAATGGACCCTTGGGAAGTGTAGACAACTTCTTCCCCACCTATTGGTGCATTTAAGTTTTACAACAGCAGTTTTACCTGGGGAAGCTACTAATGAAAAGTACACCTTGTTTCCAAAAGGAGCAATCATCCAGAATGTTTTCTACCAGCATTGTGAAACTTTCTTATCAACTTTTCCGTTACCAAATTGCAACGTTCCCTATCGCCAGAAATCATATCAATATGAATTTGCTGTCCATATTGCAGGAAACATACTTTGCCTCTGTTCCCTCTAACCTTAATTATGGCCAACATCCTGATTTACTCCAACACTCAAGGTCTTCCTCATTGCTGAGCTGAAGGGTTATCTACATAGCCTTGATCTATCCATTCTATACCAGAATGAAATTTGATGCCTCATCATTAATTTCTACTGCCAAAACTGACTTTCTTCTAAAGTAATGGGTAACAAAACTCTCATGGTCAGGAAATTCCTTTTTGAGTTTGAATTGCCTGCTTCCATCCAATGATTCTTGTCCTACTCTTGGGTGCAATGGCGAATAAACCCACACCTTATTTTCTGTGACACTTTTATCTGTATCAGAAGGCTGTTATCATGTCTCCCCGTAGTCTTCTCTTCTTTAAACATAGTTCTTTTAAACATTCTTGTATAGATTTAGCTTTCAAGACTCTTATCACCAGTGTCAGATTTTTTATGTCTTTTTTGTATCGTGGTGATCAAAATTAGACACACTGCTCCAAATGCAGTCTGGCCAATGGAGCATAGAGAAAAGCTATCATTATCATTAACAGCACATTTATTGAGTCATTCAATTTATATGCTGCCC